TGGAGTCAGTGTCAGAGGGCGAGACTTGGCCTGGAGAACTACCGTGTCCACGATGTGGAGTAACTTAGAGCAGAGGGCAACCTGGTCTCAGCATCAAGCTTCTAGGCAAGCTCTTTCCTGCTGTGCCTCCCTGGCCCAGAATACTTTTAGTTCTGTTCTGTTCTGTTTTCTTTTTGAGACAGGGCCTCATGTAGTCCAGGCTGGTTTTGAACTCCTGATCCTCCTGCTTCCACCTGCAGGTGCTGGGATTGCAGGTGTGCACCACCCTGGCCTGTCTCCATCTCTCCTTCCCCCATACTCTCCAGTGTGGTAGCAGAGTTAGTAAGGTCTGGCATCCCTAACCGGACAGGCTCAGCTGGCCTCAGAAAGCCAATTACAGAGATAAATTAGCAATGAAAAGCAAGCGTGAGTGAGACAGTGGGACAGAGGCAGAAGCCGAGAGGGGGAGCGCAAACCCAGTCAGAGTGGCCACCTCAAGAAGAGGGACAACGAGATCCACTGACTCTCACTCTGCTCTAAATCCACAGGTTTAAGTAAAGGGCCAGAGTTACAAACAACCAAGCAATTCTGGTCAGGGTGTGGTCCTGTCCACTGACCCACTGTCACTAACCCATCATTGTCTTAGCTCCTGTTTCTCCTGCAAGATCCTCCGACAGGTTGCAAGTCTCCCTCTGGGAGACAAATTTCCCCTCTGCCTGACCCTGGGCTTTAGCCATTTCTCCTCCTAGCATAAGAATTCCTTTTCTTGGGGGCCATTGTTTCAGGAGTCTGACAGCCAAAGTGAGGGGCACTGTTCTTTAGAATATCCTTGATTCTGTCAGTCTGGTTACTAGTGTTCTCCTCTTGATTCTTACAACCGTTTCCAGTTTGGGTTCTGCATGTGCCTGAGACCATCTGCTACCAGTTGCTGCAGCATCTTTAAGGGCAATAGGGTCTTTCTTAGCCCCAGTGAGCTTTACTGAGAGTCTCAGGGTGCAGGTGGTGAGCTGTCACCATGTCAGCGCTGAAAGGACAGACACGGTCCCACCTGCTTACCCTCAGCAGCCCAGGGAATGCTCTAGACTTTTAGAGACTTAAAGTCAGGCTTAACCCGGGTTGGTCGTTTTGACAATGAAGACAGACTAGCCAGGGAACTGAGGCATGGTTGGAGACTTTGGTGAAGCTGTTTTCGTACAAGAGTTGGTGAAAGAAGCACTCAGAAAAAAGATGCATCCAAGTGTGGGTGTGTAACTTCCCAAGGGAGAGTAGGGGAAAGTGATTAATTGTCTTGATATTACCCATATATAACATTTCAGGGGCTCTCAAGTTACATCTCACAGGGTTGCTAAGAGACCTTTCTCTTCTCTCTTTTGTTAAGAGGGATAACTGAAGCAGCTCCAGAATCCCTTGAGTGGCACATAAGGGTGAAACCAGGAGGGGTAGGTTGGCACAGGCTTAGTGGTGCCCTTACTCTGTTGGTAGCTTCCTAGAAAGTTTCAGGCTAGTGACCGAGAAGGAACCAGGGTTTTGCACAGCTGGTAATCACTCTGAAACTCTTGCTTCTTTGCTGGAAGAGGCCTCAGCTGGATCCCAGGGTGAGGGAGCTCCTTTTCCTTCTTGGGTTCCCATATTTTCTCCTGCTTTCCGTCCTGCTTCGGCCAGAGTCCCCTCACCCAGTGGCTTTCAAGTTCACATTGTCTTGTGTTAACATGATGAGGAATAAAGACTTGGGGGAAAGGAGTGAGGGAAATGAAAGTAAATTATCAAAGAAAGTGAGATTATTATTTATTTTTTGTCATCTTCTAATTTGTTTTTCGATATACCTTATTGTATTGTAGTTTCTTATTCTTCCTTAGGTGCCTGTTTGTTTTCTAATGGATCTGGATGGGAGGGGAAGTGGGGAGGAACTGGGGGAATGGACGGAGAGGAAACAGTAATCAGAATATATTGAGTGAAAAAAATATTTCAATAAAAGGGAAAAAAGTGAGAATAACTCCCAAGTGGCCTTCCCAAGGGAGGGATACAAACATACTTCCACCTAGGCTAGTGGCATTGTATTGGATTTATGTCAGAACTGAATAGAGACCGAGGTCCTCTTTGTTGGATTAGTCATCCTTTTTTATTGTGTCAGTGTGTGTGTGTGTGTGTGTGTGTGTGTGTGTGTGTGTGTGTTCACATGGGTTTAGGCACCACAGTAGATGTGTGGAGGTCAGCAGAAACCTTGGGGAAGTTAGTTTCCTCCATCCATCATGTAGCTCCTGAGATAGAGTCAGGTCATCTGTCAGCTGGTGGCAGGAGCCTTTGCTTGCTAAGCCATCTCAGCTGCCCAAGACTGGTGGTTCTCTGAAGACATTGGTGACCCATCTAATAGGAGAGGCAATCACATACTGCTCATCCAATCAGGGGTCATCTTTGTGCCTCTCTGTCTTCTCTGGCCCCTGCCCTCTCCCCCCCCCTCTCATTTGACTCATTTTGTAGGCTACTGGTTGAATCACATCTCTGCCTTGTTCATGGGCTACCTTAATGGACTAGCTCACGATTCACCGTGAGCCCTCGCCCTCACTTCCTCTGGGGAGCTCTGTCCTGTCTTACTTAGTACAATGAGACTGGTTTATTTTTCTCACACTGTGGCTTCCAGTTCCATCCATGTTGTCACAAATGATAGTGTATCATCCTTTTATGGCTGCTTAATGTACATCATATGCAATATTTGTGTAGAGATCACGCTTCTCTATCTACTCCTCCACCGATGGAGATCGAGGTCTCTGTGTCTTAGGACTAATGCTGCAACACGTGAGGATGCAGAGGTCTCCTTGACAGACTGACTTCCTGTCACGTGAGGACGCAGAGGTCTCCTTGACAGACTGATTTCCTGTCACGTGAGGATGCAGCAGTCTCCTTGACAGACTGATTTCCTGTCACATGAGGATGCAGCAGTCTCCTTGACAGACTGATTTCCTGTCACGTGAGGATGCAGCAGTCTCCTTGACAGACTGATTTCCTGTCACGTGAGGATGCAGCAGTCTCCTTGACAGACTGATTTCCTGTCACGTGAGGATGCAGCAGTCTCCTTGACAGACTGATTTCCTGTCACGTGAAGACGCAGAGGTCTCATTGACAGACTGATTTCCTGTCCTCTGTGCAGTAGCAGACTGCTGGGCCACATGGTAGTTCTGCAGAGCCATCATACAGTGTCCTACAATCACGATGCTAATTCACAGCGCACTGACAGCAGTCAGCCCTTGCCCACACTTGCTGTCCCCTTGTGGGACACAAACCTGATAATGTGATGTTACGCATTTTCTCATGGAGGTCTTGACTGTCCTAACTCTGTCTGCTTAAGCTTACTGCAATTTTGTCAGATTATTTTCAATGCTATTGAATTGAGTTCTTTAGCTATTCTAGCTATGAACCCTTACCCGATGTACAGCTCAAAAATACCTTCTCCCATTCTGTGGCTTTGTCTCTGCACAATGTTAGGTTATTTCTTCTGCTGTGCAGAAGTCTTTCAGTTTCACATGATCTCATTTGTTTCCTGCTCCAAGAGTCTTATCCTACTTTCAACAAGTCTGAGATTGAGTTTCGTCACTCTGACTAATCAAGAGCAAATCTTCGTTTGCAGAGGTTCCGTCCTCCCCCAGTGTTTCCAGTGGCAAAGAGTAGTTCAAAAGCTGGGGCTTCCTTGTATTTCCCGAGACTGAGTGTAATATGGCAAGGACAGTTATTGTTCAGGAATTGCTTTGCAATGAACCTATGACGTTTATGAACCGAGTGCTGCCGAGGAGAAGCGATGCCAATGTCAGACACCAAAACAAAGAGAAAAGATGGATTGTCACATATGATAGCCTATATGTCATGTGTATGGATATATCAGAACAAGCTGTTTTCCCTGGTGATAAGGAAAATGGTTTTTTTTTTTTCTGATTAGAATGGTAATAGAGGGAGATGAGGGTCACATGACAGCCTGGCTCCAAAGATGAGGTAGTGGGAGTAGAGCATGCTGGGATACTGTGAAGTCACAACTGCGTGGCTCTTCTCAGTCTAACCGCCTGCTAGGAACTACTGTTCGTTTTTTGTGTGGGCCCTTCCAGTCTCTCTTCTTGACTATGTGGTCAGTGTCCTTTAAATGCTCTGTCAGTCCTGTGTCAAATACTTGTCCTGACTGTTCTTTATATTAATATGTCGTGAACAGTTTCTCATGGTAGTGAATGCATGATTTTCCCCCGCTGCACTGCATTCCATTCCATAAACCTGCCCAGCCTCCTCATTGTTTCTGTGGCTTCTTAAACAGTATGTATTTATTTTTATGTATATGCGTGTTTGCCCGAGTGTATGTATATGTGTGTTTGCCTGAGTGTATGTATATGTGTGTTTGCCTGAGTGTATGTATATGTGTGTTTGCCTGAGTGTATGTATTTGTGTGTTTGCCCAAGTGTATGTATATGTGTGTTTGCCTAAGTGTATGTGTATGTGTATTTGCCCGAGTGTATGTATATGTGTGTTTGCCTGAGTGTATGTATATGTGTGTTTGCCCGAGTGTATGTATATGTGTGTTTGCCCGAGTGTATGTATATGTGTGTTTGCCTAAGTGTATGTGTATGTGTGTTTGCCTGAGTGTATGTATATGTGTGTTTGCCTGAGTGTATGTATATGTGTGTTTGCCTGAGTGTATGTATATGTGTGTTTGCCTGAGTGTATGTATATGTGTGTTTGCCCGAGTGTATGTGTGTTTGCCTGAGTGTATGTATATGTGTGTTTGCCGAGTGTATGTATGGTTCACCATGTGCATGCAGGAGCCCATTGAAGTCAGAAGAAGTAAGCATTAACTAGATCCCCTGGAACTGGACAGCTGTGAGCTGTCCTGTGGATGCTGGGAACCAAACTCAGGTCCTCTGAAAGGGCAGTAAGCACATCTGAGCATCTCTCCAGCCCCGTATCAGTGTTTTGGTTGTAAGCAAACAGAAGTGGCCCAGTCCGAGTACTGAGGGAAGAGTGGCCTCACGTTCTTTTTCTTCCTCCAGGGTTTGGACTCCCCTCTCGCATCAGACCTCTCTCGCCATAATCCTCTGAGTGTCGTCTCAGGACCTGGGCTACCCTCATGGCACAATGGCCAGCCCTCAGGAGCACCTGAGCTGCTCCTACTCATCACACTTAGCCTTGACCGAGAACAAAACCTCTAGTGAGCACAATGAACTTGCAGCTATGGGAAACCACCCTTCACCCAAGCTCCCCGAGGACCCCCAGGAGAAGGCTATGCAGCCCGAGCTGCTGGAGATCACGGGCAGCCCCGTCTCTACAACAGTGCTGACCAGTGTAAGTGAGGATTCCAGGGGCCAGTTTGAGAACAGTGTTCTTCAGCTAAGGGAGCAGGATGAATCGGAGATGACAGTGTCCCCAGGGAACAGCAGCACGGTGGATGGAGAGAGCACTAACGGGACCGAAGACATCAAGATTCAGTTCAGCCGGTCAGGCAGTGGAGGCGGTGGGTTTCTCGAAGGACTGTTTGGATGCCTCAGGCCCGTGTGGAACATCATCGGGAAGGCATATTCCACTGACTACAAACTGCAGCAGCAAGGTGAGCTAGAGCTTCTTGGCCCACACTTCTTCCACCGCTCCCAGGAACTGGGTAACCCTTAAGGAGTGCACCAACAGTGAAGTCAGGTGACCACCCTGTTTAAGTGTCCTACAGGCTTTCCAAACAGAATCAAGTCATACATACCTTTTACTTGAAGCCAAATAGACTTTGTCGTCAACCAGCCTAATGGTATATAGAGTAGAGTACACACATGAGGTTGTAGAAAGAAGCCTTAGAGCTCCCATATAATTTATCTCATTTACAGTTTCTATTTTCACAGTCTTTGAAGATATCTAGTATTTTAACAAAGCTGTATAGATACATAACATGAATAACTGATGCCGCGAGGATATTTAGGTTTTTTACTGATAATTTATAGGATCAAAAAGTCTGATGGCCAAAGTCAGGTGCAGTAGCATGTACTTATAGTCCAACTATTCAGAAGCTGAGGCAGGAGGATTACTTGAACTCAGTTAGACCAATTCTAAGCAGCATAATGAGACTGCCACCTATAAAACAACAGCAACAACTACGAATCTAAACAAGTCTAATGACCATTAGACTAATTCACACTGGCACCACTAATTCACACTGACTGCCCTAGACTGTAATAAAAAGGAATTCTTGTCTTGGAGTAAGGGCACAGCAGCCTCACACTTTGAGAACAGAGACTAACCAATTCTGAGAAGCTTATAATCTCTCATTTTAAAATACTGAGTCTTAAATTCTCATCATTGTGCAGCATATGTCCCTACACTCGAGTTGAGGTAAAAAAAATATAGATGCCCTGATGTTGTGAATAGTTTACTGTCTCAAAGAGAATGACTCACATACCACCAATATTTAAAATAGTCTGTCATCCTTATCTTAGGAATAATAATCATTAATATTTTAAGACTGTATCAGGCTGGACATGGTGATGCATGTTTAATCCTTGTATTTACAAGACCAATGAAGGAAAATCATAAGTTCAAGACTAGCCTGGTCTACATAGTGAGTTCTAGATCAGCTTGACCACCTAATGAGACACCGTCTCAAAAACAATAGAAATAAATGTCTCTGCCTCACAGCTTGAGGTCCACAGTGGGTGCAGAATCCACCCTGTGGGACCAGGTCCTGGGCAGCTGGTACCCGCTCCTCCCTCTGTTGTTCCACTGTACCCACTTCTAACAGGGTGTGTGTGTGTGTCTGTGTGTGTGTGTGTCTGTGTGTCTGTGTGTCTGTGTGTCTGTGTGATAGCAGTTTGTGGCTCATGCCTATAATTCTGACTTCTTGGGAGCCTGAGGCAGGAAGATCTCAATTCAGTCTTCCTGGCCTATGATAGTGATTTCAAGGTTAGCATAAGCAACTTACTAAAAGCCTATCTGGGAAAACACAAGGGCCTGGGAATTCAGCTTAGCGCTCGAGTCCTCCACTGGCATGCTCGAGGCCGTGGAGACCACCAGCCCTTAAAGAAAAAGGCATATGCTTTACTTCATATTGTGAAGGTTTTTCTATTTCTGAAATGTAACTCTTCAGCATCTTTTATTTGTTTTCTGATTTGAGACAGCAGTGGGAACTGATCCCAGTGCCCTGCATATGCACTGAGATATATACCCCAGACCCCTTCAGCAAGTATAATTTTTAATGGCTGTATAATATGTAATTGTTAAATGTGCTGATGTTTTTTAAGCAATCCCTTTGGCTTGAAACTTTGTTGTACTTTTAGTGATTATAAACTCTGTTACAGTGATTGTGGTCTGTTACCTTATTTTTTACTTTATTACATTTTTATTCGTTTGTTTTGTATAAGTGTATGTGTGTATGTCCCTAGGGGATGGAACATGTGGAAGCCATCTTATGGGGAGGGGTGTGTGCGTGTCCTGCTAAGGTTCAAATCGAAAGCTCCACATACAACAGACTGTGCTCTACCTGAGCTACACCCCAGCACTTTGTTTGTTTATTCATTTGTAACTTTTTGTTTTGTTTTTTGGATCAAGGTCTAGCTTTGCAGCCCTGGCTGTCCTTGGACTCCTTATGGAGCCCAGGCTGGCCTCTAACTCTCAGCAGCCCTTCTGCCTCAGCCTCCAGAGTGCTGGATTAATGGCTACGTATCTCCATGCCTAGCCTTAATTTGTTTTAGAAGCACTTTTTTCTCTGTCTCTCAGAGAACCAACTAAAATCCAATTCCATAATAAGACACATTTGGTTCTCAGAGCCTCTGCTTGTCCAGGCTCAGACTAAGTTGTCTCCTAACTTGGAGATGGGTATAGAAGTGCGTCACTGAACTTCAGACTCCTAGACAAATTCTTACCCATGCCTGCCTAAAAAAGCCCTTAAATTGTTTGACTTTCATTGTTCTACAAATTTGCATTTAACTTATCTTCCAGTTGATCATGTGGCTTTCAGAAAGGCTCACCTTGGAAGTAATTAAGACCTAGGTGCAGTCTTTCAGGGTTATATTATATCCTGCTGAGGCCTCGTGCTCAGTAAGGGGTAAACACTGAGAAGTGTTTGCACAGCCAGCTTGTTGGGACAATGTATTCAGAGAGGAGTCATTGAGCATCTGTCCACATAAGACATTCAGAGGAACGAAAAGGCACCTGCAGTGGCGAAGGACGGGGTGTGCAGACAGAAGAAGATGACTGGATAGGAGGCTTAACCTGGGGAGAATAGGGTGCGGGAGAGTCCGGGTTTCTAGAGGAGTCTCTGAGAGCTCAGACCGAGTTGAATTGAAGCAGTTAAAATTTATTTATCAACATAGAAGTATCAAAGCTCAAAGGAAGGTCACATCTTTGGATGGGAATTAGAGGAGAGGGTCACTCCAGACGGGGTAAAGTTGGAACTTTCAGAGTGGCCCATCGAATGGCCTCACAAGTTCTGAGCTCGCTTCTTGTCCACACGCCTAGATACTTGGGAAGTGCCGTTTGAGGAGATCTCGGAGCTGCAGTGGCTGGGTAGCGGAGCCCAGGGAGCTGTCTTCCTGGGAAAATTCCGGGCAGAGGAGGTGGCCATCAAGAAAGTAAGAGAACAAAATGAGACGGACATCAAGCACCTGAGGAAGCTGAAGCACCCCAACATCATCGCCTTCAAGTAGGTCAACAGCCGCTTTGTCTGGCTGTCTGCGCCTGTGTTCGTTGTCGGCTGGCATTGTTGGGCGGGGGCTGGTTTTAGAGTGCTTTTGTTTTGATTTTTAGAGAAATAGAGCTATTTTCTTCCTCCATTGTATACACATAAGTTCCTGCTTCGGAAGATATTTCAAAAGCCCTTGATGTGCTTAGCACAGCACTAGGGACTTTGGTAGGGTGCTAAAGTTCCATCAAACCCGAGTCGTGCCCTCCAGGAGCTCACCTTGCAGGGGAATGGACTGTTGATACAGTATGCGCAGGGGCCAGGGAGGAATTAAGGGAAATCCTGTCACACACTCTACATCAGCCTCATAGATAGAATGGCACACTGGAATAATTTCTCCCTCTGCATAGCTAATAGTAGTGACACTCACGGTAATCCAAAAGAACACCCTGAAACTCAGTTAAGGCAATTCTGGCATCAGAAGTGGTATAGCCGGTCCCTGTATGATATATATTTATGAGTTCCTTCTTAAATAGTAACGTATGAAGACGTACACCTCTGTACTGTAGCCTTGGGCTTTGCTTCATCCCTTTCCTGTGCAAACATGACTTTCTAAATCCAGTCATAGAATACACCCATTTCACAGAGCAGTTGTGTTAAGTACGAGTGTGAAGCCAGGGTTTCTTAAACTCCCCTGTTCATAGACCTTATTTGTCCAGATAAGCCAAGCATTTACTAATATCGAATCATAGAAAAACTCATTTATAACAGTTCTCCAGTGTGCATATGGTTTTACCATTTATTAAACTCTAAGGAACCTCCGTGCCAATCAGACGGATGTGCTGGTCTGTCTACGTCAAGAGTTACAGCGTGGCTGGATAGTGCTGTAGTATATGTATCTCCAGTATTTTCAGTTACCTGATACTTCATAGCTGTCCGTGCAGAGAACACCACTGACACAAATCCAAAGTACAGAATGACAGAAGTGTATTCAGGGCTGTCCCCAAAATCACTGGAGATCTTTCCATAATCCCAAGATAAAACTAATTTAATCCACTGTACATTTGATTTTTGGATTATTTTTACTCATCGGACATTCAGAATCCTGTTACCATTGCCAGATGACTTCTGACCCCTACATTTAGGTGTGTATCGCCGCATGGGGTTACAGTCCACAGTTTAAGAGGGGTCCTAACTGAAGAGCCAGTCAAAGGTAAACTTGTGGGAATCACTGGAGCTGGAAGGCGACTGTGCTCACCACTGTACCAGCAAAGTGCCGAGCTCAGCTGTGGTCACTGCTGCCTGAGCCACTCCCTTAGCTGTCTTTATGCCATCCGTCCCTTCAGCCTGGACAAGTGAAAGGACCTGACTTTTAAAAGGGGAGAACGAAGAACAGGAATTGTGGCCCAAGTGGAACAAACGATGGGAAGTGACTTTTGCCCTGTTTGACTGTATTTTAGAGATAGTTTGGTATAACTAAAGAGGCTTCAGTAAACATGGAGGACTTAGAACTCCTTCCTCAACCTAGGAGCAACTTCCCCAGCCGCCCTGAAGGCTCTTCCTCTGGGAAACTACTATCCTGAGGAAAGATGCCATGTGACCAATCAGTCTTAACTGGACTCATATCCCCAAAGAAAGCAACAGTTAATTCTTGAGTAGTTTTGTGAGATGTGGTTTTGGTTCCTTCATGAGAACCCTTACGGCAGGGAAAGGTGGGAAGAGGTGGCAGCAGCTGGAGTGCAGAGGACAGCCACTGTCATAATTCTGTCATTGGCTGCCCTGATGAAAATGACCACTGTGGCTGACTATAATTTTTCCAGAGCCAATAAGTTTCAAGTTAATGGGAGTATAATTTCTGGCAGACAGACAAATGGAGACCACCTTGTCTCTTCCATTTCCTTCACTGAAACACTTGTGCCTTCGGCATGCAATCTCAGGCAAAGAGAAGGTAGCTATTAGAGGCAGTTCTAAAGCGGTTATTTCTGGCTGCTAGGAGCCTGGTCACAGCAGAGGGCTTTTAGTTTGTCACAGTGAGAAGAACAGTTCACAAGATCTCTGTTAGACCATAGGACAGCTCTGTTTTCATGTTGAGATACAGATGTGTGTATGTGTATATTAGCCTGTTTTCATGTTGAGATACAGATGTGTGTATGTATCTATTAGCCTGTATTCATGTTGAGATACAGATATGTGTATGTGTCCATTAGCCTGTTTTCATGTCCTTACTATGTTTTCTTCAAAGGGGAGTTTGCACCCAGGCCCCGTGCTATTGCATCATCATGGAGTACTGTGCCCACGGACAGCTTTACGAAGTCTTGCGAGCTGGCAGAAAGATCACACCTCGGTTGCTCGTGGATTGGTCCACAGGAATTGCTAGTGGGATGAATTATCTCCATCTCCATAAAATCATACACCGTGACCTCAAGTCACCAAAGTGAGTTCTAGAGCCCATTGTTGGCTGTTCTTTTACTTGGAAATGAGTTCTTATCAAACAAGGCCAAGGCTCTCAGTGGGTAGCTTCTCATCACCTATCTATATGGGGGATACGGCCAGGTACATAAATCAAGCCTCCCTTGTGTGGCTTTTGGATTGTGCAACTGTGCAGCAAACTTCATTACTATCTGAAGCAGCCAACTTTCATCACCTTAAAAAATTAATGCCAGGCTCCCCCCGTTTGAAAGCTTGGTTTGTTCTTTTCCTAGGTTTAAAACAAAATTAACTGCCCTTCAGAAGTGTTTAAAACACAACAGAATGAAAATGGCTGAATGAGACACGGTGGCAGGTTGGAAATATAGCTCAACAGTGGAGGGCTTGTTCCCGGGCCCCAGGGCAGGGCGGGAGGGGGCGAGGCATGTTCACAGATGCATGCGGCAGGTTCTCTACAGTTACCTGAGATGTGGTTCACATCTGCAGCCCAGCTCTCTGAGGCAGAGGCCAGAGAGTCAGGAGGCTAAAGCCAGTCTCCTTTCCAGAGCTGGGCAGTCCCGTCCCGCGTTCGCGGTTTGCAACAGCTCTGCCCTTCATCACATCTTCTTGGATTCTGGCAAACGCCATGAGCTAGATGTAGTAGTATCGGTTTTCTTATTGTACATACAGGAAACTGGTACTCACCCAGACTCCTGGGTCTTAGACTCAGACTTGATGGGTTTTAGGCAAACTTTAAGAAGATAGCAATAAGTCTGGCTGGCTGTGTCAGGAGATTTCTCTACCTACTTAAATCCATAGTCAGTATGACCCCCGCCTTCATCCCAGAAAAGTTCCATTGTGTATGTGTGTTGATTCTGTGTGTACAAGTGTGTGTGCGAGTATGCCAGCCTGTATGTGTTTGTGTGGAGGCCAGAAGTTGGCACTGGGGGTCTTTTCTATTGCTCTTCACCTTATTTATTGGGTGAGCCTTGAAGCCTACCAATTCAGCTAGACTGGCTGGCCAGCAAGCCCCCAGGATGTGCCTGCCCCACCCCTGCGCGTCACTGAGCCTGGCTTCTGTGTGGATGCCGGATCTGCCCTTGCTCATGAAGCACTTACCCAGAGCATTGCCCCGGCCCCAGTTATAGTATTCTGTTATCTTTCATCTCTACCTGTGTCCACTCCCTCATGTCAGGTCAGCCGCTGAGAAGAGGCTCCTCCAGCATCTCTGTCTAGTGACCATCATGTGTTCTAACCGTGGTATCTGACACCATCGCTTTAGCTGCCTCAGCTATCCCGTAATATTCTAATCGTCATACATTTTCACCAAGACTAAAGTCAGGAAGTCCTAAATGATGTTAGTTTTATATTCCAGGTAGATGTGATGAAGGTATCCCAAAGTAATCTGAGCACCAAGTTGCTCAGTACACAGAGAGCCATTTGGTAGCTGGGGTGTGGGTAAGGTAACAGAACAGAGGGGATGGAGATCAAAATTCCCCGTCTTCTTCCTCCCTAAGTCAGATACTTTTTGAATGTTATGACTCTTAGTGGTTGGAGTTTTTTTTTTTTTTGGAGGGGGTGATGGGTGAATTTGTTTGGTTTTTGTCAGTGTCTCACAGTGTAGCCCTGGATAGCCTGAAACTCACTTGTAGACCAGGCTGGCCTCAAACTCAGAGAATCACCTGCCTCTGTGGAGTGTGTGTGATCACAAGCAGCTTGTGTTGCTGAATTAGGTCTCTATATTGTTTAGGGCCCAGCACCCTAACTCATTAACTCTAGCATGTTGAATGAGTTTCTTCAAGTGGAGCCAGTATAGTGGGGGAATATTAATATTCTGATTTTACACACCACTAGGACTAGCCAAACAGTTTGTTCCGGGGTCCATTGTAAGTGGTTCTTGTGAAAAGCTAAAAAAGAAAGAGAGAGAGAGAGAGAGAGAGAGAGAGAAAGAAAGAAAGAAAGAAAGAAAAGCATGTCTTGTATGGAACCTGCTTGAACTTTGCTGATCAGAGCTCATCCTTGGCCTGGAGAGGACTCGACTTTCCCCTGAGCCTTGGAATGTGATGCCTACCTGATGTCATGGTCCCACACCTGCTATTTATAGAGAGACAGTGGGCCTGGAAGAGAGGGCGACTGGCAGAAGTCACGGTTAGCAAGTCGTGGGGGCTGAGCTGCCTGGCAGGTGCAGATGATGCTGTCTCTAGGGTGAGGGCCAAGAGCAGTGGGGGTTGTCAGCCTAACTCTGCAGTGTAGAAGATGAAGCGTCAGTCACTGCCTGACTCAGGTCTCCTACTCAGAGAACTCTTAACTCAGCACTAATGACCGGGTTCTTGTCTTTATTTCTTTTCAAAGTGTTTTAGTGACTCACACAGATGCAGTCAAAATTTCAGATTTTGGTACATCCAAGGAGCTCAGTGACAAAAGCACCAAGATGTCCTTCGCGGGGACAGTTGCGTGGATGGCGCCTGAGGTGATTCGGAATGAGCCCGTCTCTGAGAAGGTTGACATATGGTGAGTGGTGCCCAGCCATCTCAAGGGCCCTGCCCACTCTCACCTGGCTTCTGCCCTCTATTGTCTTCCCTGCCCTTCCCTTCTGGTTGATTCTGGTTTCAGATTCTCTAAGCTGTGCCCCAGTGTGATATATGTCAGGAAGAATTAGGAGAGGAATTGGGGTGAAGATCCAGTAAGCAGTCAATTCTGAGGCATCTCCATTGATTATGCTAAACTCTCTGGAAACTGGAAGTTTACTTTGAATAAGGGTGTGGTGTAGGAGACTTTATGAAATCCGTTGCATAAGCCTCACATTTTTTAGTAAAATATATTAAAATTTACTTGTTCTTGATGATATAAGTCCCAGTGTACAGCCATGATGGCCTGAAACCTGCTGTGTACCCAGACTGTCCTTGAACTCATGATCCTCCCAGCTTAGCCTCTGAGTGCTGAGATTACGAGCTTACACCATCTACCCGGTCTTTAGTTACTTAAAGAGCTAAGGTCTGAGCCCGTCCCTCTGAGCTGCCTCTGTGTCCGGCCCGCTGCAGGTCCTTTGGAGTGGTGCTCTGGGAGCTGCTGACAGGGGAGATCCCCTACAAAGATGTGGACTCTTCGGCCATCATTTGGGGTGTTGGGAGCAACAGCCTGCACCTCCCAGTTCCCTCCACTTGCCCAGATGGATTCAAAATCCTTATGAAACAGACATGGTAAGAAGTGGGTTTCTTCTGTTAAAACTCCCCTAGAAAGCAGAGGCATCTCTGCAGGGTAGAAGGAACCACGTCTTGGTGGAGCAACAGGAGCTGTGGAAATTTAGGGCTGGATTTACCCATGAAATCAGGGCCGTGTCTCCCTGTAAAGAAGAGCCAGCCCGTACTCGTGGAGTTGTGTGTGACTGACGAAACCTAACAGCCGAGAGCTCGGATTACTTCACTGTTCCTAGTGAATCACAGACCTAACTTCTCACGTTTTCAGTAGATACTTATCCTGGCCACAGTTTCCCTTTGCACAATAGTACATCTTAACTGCCTGAGACGTAGCAGTTCTTGAGATAAAACATGTGTTTTCTAAAGCAGAGTGCAGCCTCGGCGCCCCCAGACACACCCTCTGAGACGCACACGCTCTCTTTCTCTTAGGCAGAGTAAGCCTCGCAACCGGCCGTCCTTTCGGCAGACGCTCATGCATCTGGACATTGCATCGGCAGATGTGCTCGCCACCCCGCAGGAGACTTATTTCAAGTCTCAGGTAAGCCAGCACTCTCCTGCCTCATGACTGGGCAGTCAGCCAAGGAGCACTCTAGCTGTGCAGCATTAAATGACCCTATTTGTTGTGAGACGGTAATTGTGATGGTTGGTGAACGTGACTGTGAACTCTGGTGACGCTGTTTAAGGAGGAGAAAGAGGACATGAAAACTGCCTCGCCCTGCATTCGGATCACCACCTCTGCTGTTCCTCCTGAAGGCTTTGCTCACTTTGAAGCATAAGAGCTGAAGACAAGAAGCAGGAACTTAAGGACCAGACAGAGCCACAGCAGAATTAGTCCCTAGTAGTCCCCGATTAAAAAAGTAGTTTAACGTGTCTGTTAGCCTTCATTGTTCTAAAATTTTCCACAACTTACACTATGAAACAAAGTCAGCATTTATTTAGCTCACCATTCCATAGACAGTTTGAACTAGGCAATTTTTTCAAGGCTTCGAGTTCACCTAGAGGCCTGGAAGCAAATCCCAGGTTAGCAGGAAGGTGGCTCCAGGCAGCCTCCTTACCAGATGTGCTGAGCATCTGGCTAGGAGCTAGAGTTCCTCTGTCCTCCATGTGGCCTCCTTACCAGATGTGCTGAGCATCTGGCTAGGAGCTAGAGTTCCTCTGTCCTCCATGTGGCCTCCTTACCAGATGTGCTGAGCATCTGGCTAGGAGCTAGAGTTCCTCTGTCCTCCAGGTGGCCTCCTTACCAGATGTGCTGAGCATCTGGCTAGGAGCTAGAGTTCCTCTGTCCTCCAGGTGGCCTCCTTACCAGATGTGCTGAGCATCTGGCTAGGAGCTAGAGTTCCTCTGTCCTCCAGGTGGCCTCCTTAGCAGGTGTGCTGAGCATCTGGCTAGGAGCTAGAGTTCCTCTGTCCTCCAGGTGGCCTCCTTAGCAGGTGTGCTGAGCATCTGGCTAGGAGCTAGAGTTCCTCTGTACTCCATGTGGCCGCTAATTCTTTCACAAGCTTGCTCAGGCTTCCTCGAATTCCGTTTGTTTCCATGGTGACAAGTAGATCACGAGAGCATGGCCCAGTACAGGTGATTGTCATGCTGCTTTGTATAACGCCTGTCACAATGCCGCACTGGCTGCAGCAAGTCACAGGCTACCTGACTAGGCCACAACTCCTCCTAACCAGAGCATCTGCCAGAGCGGGTTGTAAGGGATGGAGCCAGAACAGGTTTTAAGGGATGGAGCCAGAGCAGGTTGTAAGGGATGGAGCTCTTAAGGGATGGAGCCAGAGCAGGTTGTAAGGGACAGAGCCAGAGAAGGGAAGGGCTGTGGCTCTTGGGTGGAAGTGCTGTAGGTGTCAGAAGGATGCAGCTCCGACCACTGTTCTGACCACTGTTACTGTGGATGGGGAGTGACTACAGACAAGGACAAGTTCCCTTTCCCTACAGACCCAGGCGAGATCACAAAATAGTAATCCAGCTTTCTAAGGAAATGGGATTGTAGCCGGGCAGTGGTGGAGCACGCCTTTAATCCCAGCACTCAGGAGACAGAGGCAGGCGGATCTCTGTGAGTTCGAGACCAGCCTGCTGTACAGAGTGAGTTCCAGGACAGGCTCCAAAGCTACAGAGAAACCCTGTCTCAAACAAACAAAAAAGTGATTGTCCTAAATTAGACGTTTGTGTGTACAAAATTATTTTCATCATGATGTTGGCAATACTCAGGATTGAACCTGGGCTTTCTTAAATGCTAGGCAATCACTCTACCACTGAGGTCCGCCTTAGACTTTTGTTGATTGTGTTTTTTTAAAAAATATTATTTATTTATTATGTATACAATATTCTGTCTGTGTGTATGTCTGCAGGCCAGAAGAGGGCACCAGACCTCATTACAGATGGTTGTGAGCCACCATGTGGTTGCTGGGAATTGAACTCAGAACCTTTGGAAGAGCAGGCAATGCTCTTAACCACTGAGCCATCTCTCCAGCCATGTTTTGTTTTTTATATATACAAGTCTTGCTAAGTTGCTCAGGCGGGCCTTGAACTCATTCCATAGCACAGAGAGACTGTGAATGTGAAATTCCTCCCGTCTTAGCATCCTGAGTAGCTGGGATTGCAGACCTACACCACATGCCCAGCTTAGAATCTAACCATTAATAACACATTAGCATATGTGAAACTTCACATTAGACATATGGCTTTTCTCATTTTTATTATTGTTATTCAGTTTCTAAAATGACTTTTATGAAGTGAACTCCATCTCTGCAGTGACTTCCAATATTATTTCAAAGATTTATTCTTAGGAGAGACATTTTATTACACACATTTATTGCCTAAAAAAAGACTAAATTAAATGCATAAAATTTATGCTAACCTACAGGGAAAATTGATGTCTACACAATGAAAATTTTACAGATAAAAATCAGGGAAAATGTAATTTTCTTCTTCAAGTGAGACTTGGAGAAGCTCCCTCAGCCCTCAGATTGCAGTCTAGATACTTCTAGGGGAGCCTGAGACGTCTTCAAGGCGATCACAAGAAGGAAACTGTTTTCATGATAACATTGTTACTGTTTTCAATCTTGTTCTCCCAGGAGTATATGCAGACTGTTCTAGAAACTGTATGATGTGAGATATAACTCTGATGGCAAACAGAATGTTTCCTAACATCCTCATGTGTATAACTCACAGTTTTTAGTCTAGCCTAATATCAGTAGGTATCGCCCACATAAACAAATGTCACGTGGAATCTTCAATAATTTATAAGACAATAAAGAGGTTCTAACACTAAAAATTTGAAAGACCCTGTCCCCAGTGGGCACAGATCTTACAGGAAAACATCTGATGAAAAGAGAATTGAGCACGAGGAAGAAGCAGAGAGTACAATCAGGAAAGGCCTTGAAGACAGCAGGATCCTATCCTGAAAGGACTCCACCAAAAATCTCTCAGACCAACACACATTCTCAGCCAATCCCAGGATAGGAAATCCACAAACAGAAGTCAGTCGCCTTTCCAGTCATCAGCCACCAACTGCTAAAGAGAAACCAGAGAAAAACATCTCCTTGACAACGAAGAAAGCCCGAACAGAAGGCTGAAAGACATGGCAGTGGGAAGGAGCTGAAGACAACAGACGGTGGGAAAGATCTCCTGCGCTCAAGGACTGGCAAAACCAATAACGTAAAAGTGTGCTGGCTAGTTTGTGTCAGCTTCATGCGAAATGAGAGAACGTCAGTTAAGAAGATGTCTCCATATGATCCAGCTATAGGGCATTTTCTTAATTAGTGATTGATGGGGGAGGGGCCAGCCCATTGTGGGTGGCCCTGGGTTCTATAAGAAAACAGGCTGAGTAAGCCATAGCAAGCCTGTAAGCCGCTCCCCTCCATGGCCTCTGCATCAGTTTCTGCATCCAGGTTCCTGCCCTGCTTGAGTTCCTGTCTTGACTTCCTTCAGCGATGGACTACAGTGTAGAAGTGTAAGCCAAATAAACCCTTTCCTCCCCAATTGCTTTTGGTCATGGTATTTTATTAAGTAATCTAGCAGAATCTAAGGCAGCTAGATTCCTGAAAGTGATCCATAAATTCAAGCCATTCCCCATCAAAATACCAATTGGATTGTCTACAAAACTAGAAAAAAATAATCCTAAAAATCATAAGGAAGCACAGAAACCAGAAAGTCTGATGTGATCCTGAGCCTGGAGAGTAATGCTGGAAGTTCCCACTTCCTGATCTGGACCTGGCAGAGCCCTAGAACAAAACCAGCATGGTCTGCATCACAGCAGTCAAGGGAATCACGAAGAGAACAGACAGCACAGTCACCCATGCTCAGCAAGGCCCGAAACATCCACTCAACAAAGACGACCTCTTCAAGAAACCGTGCTGGGAGCTTTGTTTGTCATAGCCAGAACCTGGAAGCAACCTAAAATGCCCCTCGACCGAAGAATGGATAAGGAAAATGTGGTACATTTACACAATGGAGTACTACACAGAAGTAAAAACAATGACATCTTGAATTTTGCAGGCAAATGGATGGAGCTAGAAAACATTATTTTGAGTGAGGTTACCCAGACACAGAAAGACAATTATCACATGTACTCACAAAGCAAAGAAAGCGAGCCTACAAACCACAATCCCAGAGAACTTAAACAACAATGAGTACCCTAAGGGGCACTTACTTAGATCTCATCTACATGGGAAGTAAAAAGTAGAAAAGCACAAGCTCTCCTGAGTAAATTGGGAGCATGGGGATCTTGGGAGCGGGTTGAAGCAGGGAGGGGAGAGGCAGGGAGGGGAGCAAAGAAAAATGTAGAGCTCAATAAAAATCAATAATTAAAAAAAAAAGAAACCGTGCTGGGGAGGCTAGGTGACCACACAGGGACAATAAAACTGCATCTCTTTCTCTTACACACACCCTGCACAGAAAAGGATCAAAAGCCTAATTTTAAACCTAAACCTTGAGAAACCTAAAGAAAAACATAAGTCATCTACAGGTTCATTGTAATTACGAGCAAAATTCTAGTGACATTTTCTCAGGGCTAGGGGAAACATGCTAAAATTCATATGAATTATAAAGGAACATTTGTAGCAAAGCAATCCTAAGCAGAAAGAATGATGCTGGGGCACTGCGGTACCCGACCTCAGATCACAGCACAGACCATAGTGATCTCATATCACACCACAGACCATAGTGATCTCATATCACACCACAGACCATAGTGATCAGCGCCTGCTGGGGGCACTGCTGTACCTGACCACAGATCACACCACAGACCATAGTGATCTCAGACCACAGCACAGACCATAGTGATCTCAGATCACACCACAGACCATAGTGATCAGCGCCTGCTGGGGGCACTGCTGTACCTGACCACAGATCACACCACAGACCATAGTGATCTCAGACCACAGCACAGACCATAGTGATCTCAGACCACAGCACAGACCATAGTGATCTCAGACCACAGCACAGACCATAGTGATCTCATATCACACCACAGACCATAGTGATCTCAGACCACAGCACAGACCGTAGTGATCTCAGACCACAGCACAGACCATAGTGATCTCAGATCACACCACAGACCATAGTGATCAGCGCCTGCTGGGGGCACTGCTGTACCTGACCACAGATCACACCACAGACCATAGTGATCTCAGACCACAGCACAGACCATAGTGATCTCAGACCACAGCACAGACCATAGTGATCTCAGACCACAGCACAGACCATAGTGATCTCAGACCACAGCATAGACCATAGTGATCTCAGATCACACCACAGACCATAGTGCCTGCTGGCACTGGCACAGATGCAGACATGTAGACCGGTGAACTAGGGTCAGAAATAAACCACAGCTTCATCTTTGACAAATTCATACACACACCGGAGTGAGGGAAAATCTAGTCAACAGACGGTGCCGGCAAAGCTGATTCCATCTGTAGAAAAATGGAGTTGGATCCACATCTCTAATCCTGCACAAAAATCAACTCAAAATGCATTAAAGACCTTACTTTAAAAGCTGAAGTGTGGAGACTGAAGAGAGGCTCAGCAGCTAAGAGTACTTGCTGCTTCTCCAGAGGACCTGAGTTCACATCCCAGCATCTGTATCAAGTGGCTACAGCACAGACGCCTGTAACTCCAGCTCCAGGGATTCTAGTGTCCTCTTCTGGCTGCTGTCATGGGCCTCTGCCACCTGCGCACATATTCATACACACACACACATTTTTGGTGAAACGAGAGTAGCAGCAAGTGCTCCGAGGAAATCTTCCAACTGTAGTCTATGGTTGCAAATAGCTTTGCCCCCCTTACTGGCAAACTATCTAGTATCACAACTTTGGAAAGCAATTCATAGTGGAAGCGCTAAGTCAAAAGCTACTGAGACAGTCAATTTAACATATATGTGTATATATATATATATATATATATATATATATATATATTTGGAAAATGTCATAATCTGAGATTTTACTTCAAGAGCCTAGGTAAATGGCTCAGCAGTTAAGAGCACTGGCTGCTCCTTCAGAGGATCTGAGTTTAGTTTCCAGCACCTACATGGCACCCTCATACAGACATACATGTAGACAAAACATCAGTACACATAAAATAAAACTAATTTTTTTTTTTTTTTGGTTTTTCGAGACAGGGTTTCTCTGTGGTTTTGGAGCCTGTCCTGGAACTAGCTCTTGTAGACCAGGCTGGTCTCGAACTCACAGAGATCCGCCTGCCTCTGCCTTCTGAGTGCTGGGATTAAAGGCATGCGCCACCACCGCCCGGCCTAAAACTAATTTTTAAAAGGGATTTTACTTCAGTGCTCTCACACCAGAGTTAACGTTTCTGAAAACCTCCCATGTGCAAAGCCCTGCCCAGAGCAGCTAAGGTCCTGCAGTCACTGCCCCAGTGGGCCAGCTCACTTCCATTACCGGTCAAGAGTCAAAACGAAGTAACTGCTGGTCTCACCAAAGGTTCTTCTGGGGCTAGGAGAGGAGAGAATAGGTCAGGGAGGAGAAGAGTATGTCGGGCATCTGCTTTAAGGTGTGCTGCCAGGGTAAATTACTACCCATGGGAGCTTGGTCAGCAGAACAGGTTATTCCCCAGTTCTGAGGCCAGGAAGTCCATGACAAGTCCAAACCCAGCAGATCGAGGACATGGGAAGAACATGAGTCCTACTTCATGGGTGACAGTCTGTGTTCCCAGCCTGCCTCCCAACCATACTTACACCGAAACAGATGCCCTCCTGACCTACCGCCTCCCCAAAGCCCCACCCCATCCCTTGGCCTTGGGACTCTCGGGGTGTGAGAACAGAGTTCAGAGTACAGCAGTGTCTGTCCTGTTCATTAATTCCTCCACAGTCTCCTCCCAACACACAATGTCATTTCTCCCTCATTAACCCCTAGTCTGCTTGTTGCAGTAATTTTTGCTAGTTGCAATAAATTTTCAACTGTTTATAAATTGATGCTTCCAGGTCTGAAATTGAGACCATCTCTGGCTAATGCTGATGGAGTATTGGTGAGCTGGCTAGAGAAGCGGTAGGAAGTCTGTGGGCCTTGACTCTAAGCCCTGCCCTGACCCCTACTTAAGATGTCCCCGTGAAGGTCTAGGGAAGAATAGCAACACGGGTGCCCTGTGCACTGTTTGCTTGCAACCTGCTATTGTTTGCATGTTAGGAAGCTAAAAACTCTCAGCCTGAACTGGATTGTTATGTCTCCATGCTTCCTCTGATAAGCTCTCAAGATTAATAAGATGGAGGCTGGTTGTATTTTGTCACTGTTCTGCTCCGCGGGGGAATAACTGGGTGTCTCACACACACGTGGTTTTGCTCTTACTGTCTCAGTCTTCTACGTGACCTTGCTTCCTCTCACCTGCTGACACGCTGCCCTCAGTATCCACTGTCCAACATTGTTGGCTTCTAGTCGCAACTGTCAGAGTGCTGATGCAGAGAGCATGGTGAGCTGGAATACTAATCTCTTTCCAAAATCTTGATCTCGGTTCTTCTGGATGGATGCTGAGAAATGCCATTGCCGTCACCAGGGACATTAGAGACACGCATCAGTGCTGATGTGGGGAGATTGGAGCCTGTCCCCACTGTTGGTGGGAGGGCAAGGGATAAGTGCTGCAAAAGGCAGCATGTGCCTTCTCCAGAATGAAAAGCTGAACTGCATGGCTCACGGTCCAGAGGTCTGTCTAGCATGTGTCTCAGGGTGAAGGAGCCATCCCAGGAGAATGCGCAGTGTTAGAAACACCCAGTTCTACTTACAACAGAGTGCAGCTTCATGGCCACTCTCCTTCCCTCAGATTCTTTATCCCCAACTTCTGCGGCTGCAGGGTTTTCCTGTTATTGACCCGAATGTGACATTCAGCCCCTTCCTTGATTTTTTAAGTGATTTGAAGAAAAAACAAAACAAAACAAACACCTCACCTATCAAAAGCCAAGTGGATGTTGGTAGATCCCTGAGTATTTGTGAAGTGAAAGCAGCCTTGGCCAGCCTGAATCATGTGTTAGACCCTCGCCCCTTGCCTCGGTGATCTCAGACTCCTCTGTTGTTTGCCCCTCTTCTCCCTCCCCCTTTCCCTTATCCTCCCCTTCAGCCTGTATTCCTGGGCGGTGTGCTGCTCTGCAGAGCACTTTCTCTGGGGTATTCTGCTCCATCCGTCCCTCTTTCTTCAGAAAGCCGAGGTGGTAGCAGCTGTGTCTGTCAGTGAGCTGCGGTTGTCAGGGCTTTCTTACTACCTCCCTCCTGCATACACTACCTCCCAGAAGTGATTGCCTGCTGTGCCCTGTACTGTTTCTGCTGCGGGAAAACTGCAAAAGAGACAGCACTGTGTTCAGGACAGAGTGGGGCTTGCACTTCCAGAGTGTGTTCAGGACAGAGTGTGGGGCTTGCACTTCCGGACTGGAGGCTGTTTCGTCCTTGACGAGCTAGCGCATCTTGAACATTTACCCTCAACAAGCTCCGGTGGAAAGTTTGGGGAAACATGGAGAGCACAGGAGGAAATGTCTGTGACGTGCTGTCATGGACGCATCGGGGATGGAGGACTACAATACTTATAAAGTTCAACTTTCCTCCCGCAGGCTGAATGGAGAGAAGAAGTGAAGAAGCACTTTGAGAAAATCAAAAGTGAAGGGGCCTGTATCCACCGGCTAGACGAGGAGCTGATCCGCCGGCGCAGGGAGGAGCTCAGGTCAGCCCCCACTCCCCTCACTCCGAGTCCCAGTTCAGTCTCCCTGTCCTGGGGAACCTGAAAATTCTGCCCTCAAAGCGGCAGGAGCACAGGGTGCTTCCTAAGGCTGAGAGGGTGCGTGGAGGGGGTGGGGCGCTGGCTAATGGATGCTGTTATAAATAGACAGAAAGGAGTTCTCCAATTCTGTGCATGCTGGGGTGGCAGCAGGTGACAATCTCGCTCACCTACTTGCTTGAGTCAAGGTCTCACTCTGTGGTCCTTGCTGGATTGTAGATCAAGCTGGCTTAGAAATCACGGAGACCTGCCTTCCTTGGCCTCCTGGGTACGGGGATTGTAGGCCTGCACCACCACCCTAACTTCAGTATTTTTTTTTTTAATTAAAGAAGCTAGAAGAAAGGATTTGAAATGTTTCCAACATAAAGAATGGTCATTGTTAGGGGAGAGTATCATAATTCCCCTGATTTTTTTCATTAATTCTATATTAAATTATATGTCTGTGTCTGTTTGAACACGAGTGCAGATGCCACAGAAGCCAGAGGCTGAGATGCCCTGGAGCTGGAGTTGCAGGTGTTTGTGAGCCACCTGCTATGGATGCCGGGAATTGAACTCGGGTCCTCTGGAAGAGCAGTGCATACACTTAACTGCTGAACCATTTCTCCTGTCCTGGTTACCCTGCTTTGAACACTATATGACAAATATATGTATCAAAATGTCACTGGGTACCACATAAATATGTACAACTTTTACATCAATTAAAAAGAATCTCTGTGAGAGACAGTTCAGTGAGTAAGGATCTTGCCACAGCAGTTTGAGGCCCTGAGTTTGAATTCCCAGAGCCACAGAAGTCGGGGTATGACAGCTATGATCCAGGAGCTCCTGGGGCAGGATGGGAGGCAATGCCAGGAGGCTCCCCATGAGCTGTGGGCCAGCCAGCCTACACTGTATGGTGCAGAGGTCAACAGCGGCCTCCAGCACAGTTACCTGAGGAACAACTCTGAAGGGTGATCGTGGACCTCCACACGCACACCATGGCATGTGCTCACCCACACACACAGCCACCTTCAACATGTGCACACCACACACACAGCCACCTTCAACATGTGCACACCCACGCACACAGGTACCTTCAACATGTGCACACCCACGCACACACAGCCACCATCAACATGTGCTCACCCACACACACAGCCACCTTCAACTTGTGCACACCCACACACACACAGCCACCTTCAACATGTGCACACCCACGCGCACACAGCCACCTTCAACATGTGCACACCCACACACACAGATACCTTCAACATGTGCACACCCACGCACACAGCCACCTTCAACATGTGCACACCCACGCACACACAGCCACCTTCAACATGTGCACACCCACGCACACAGATACCTTCAACATGTGCACACCCACGCACACAGATACCTTCAACATGTGCACACCCACGCACACAGCCACCTTCAACATGTGCACACCCACGCACACATCCACCTTCAACATGTGCACACCCATGCACACAGCCACCTTCAACATGTGCACACCCACGCACACAGATACCTTCAACATGTGCACACCCACGCACACATCCACCTTCAACATGTGCACACCCACGCACACAGCCACCTTCAACATGTGCACACCCACGCACACAGCCACCTTCAACATGTGCACACCCACGCACACAGCCACCTTCAACATGTGCACACCCACGCACACATCCACCTTCAACATGTGCACACCCACACACACATCCACCTTCAACATGTGCACACCCACGCACACAGCCACCTTCAACATGTGTATACCCATGCACACACTTCTTCACTCTTTTTTACCTGCTCCTCTCACCTGTTTCCTCCTTTATGGTTCTCTGAGCATGGACCCTTAGAGCACTTCCATGGTTCTCAGTGCCATTGGAGCCAGGAATTTACAGGCTCTGGTTCTGGCCTCAACATAATAAGCACAGTATTCGGCAGTTAGGCCTCTGGAACAAAATGCCTTAGACTTAGCAGTTTATGAACAGAAGAAATGCACTGCTCATGGTTCTGGGGCAGAGCACCAGGGAATTCAGGAGCTGGTGAATACCCATCCATCATATCATGGCACCCGCGTGTGTCCTCACACGGTGGAGAATCAAAAGGCTACCTCCAGGACCATCACCTGATGGGCGAAAGTTTACATTTGAATCTGGGGGAAGCACTGCAACCACACCAGCCCAGATAAGACCTGTGCCATGGATAGGCACGTGATCATGGAGTATGAGGACCTGAGTTTGAATTAAAAACAATTGACTAATTAACTTTAAGTTATGCCCACTAATATGTGACTCTACTGTATTGTGCTAAGACTGTGCCGTGTGCACAAATGAAGACTATAAAAAGCGCACAGACGGTATTGTTACTTTGTCTGTGGCCGTGTGGCTGGAGGGGCCCTTAGGATCAAACACACAGCCCAGATTTCCTATTCCCACTCCTTGTCTGAATCCTTGTGTTTAGAAACTTAAAAATGGAACCCCCTGGGGCTGGTGCTTTGAAGTAAGCCACCGTGCGTGCTTCATCAGAGCTGACTTCCGTTCTCCTCAGCCTTGCTCATCCTGTGTTTTCACTGACAGACATGCGCTGGATATTCGAGAGCACTATGAGCGAAAGCTCGAGCGGGCCAACAATCTGTACATGGAGCTGAGCGCCATCATGCTGCAGCTGGAGATGCGGGAGAAGGAGCTCCTGAAGTATGTATCCCACCAGTCCCAGCCGGTCCCAGCCCTCGCTGCTCTGAGTCTGAGTCTGCTGTGGTGATCATGTGGATATTTTAGTTGTTCCACCAGCATTCCTTAGGGACTTTCTGTCCTCAGTCCCTACTAGGGTGAGGCACACAAGTTAGCAGAGCCGCTGCAGGTCTGAAATGGGACCACATACTGGACTAGCGTGTGTGCGTCACTCTGCCACACGGTTCAGCATGCATGTGCCTCTCCCACACGGTTCAGCATGCATGTGCCTCTCCCACACGGTTCAGCTGTGTATGTCTCTGCCACACGGTTCAGCTGTGTATGTCTCTGCTGCACAGTTCAGCTGTGTGTGTCTCTGCCACACGGTTCAGCATGTGTGAGTCACTCTGCCGCACGGTTCAGCTGTGTGTGTCTCTCTGTCGCACGGTTCAGCATGTGTATGTCTCTGCCACACGGTTCAGCTGTGTATGTCTCTGCCGCACGGTTCAGCTGTGTGTGTCTCTCTGCCGCACGGTTCAGCATGTGTATGTCTCTGCCACACGGTTCAGCTGTGTATGTCTCTCCCACACGGTTCAGCTGTGTATGTCTCTGCCGCACGGTTCAGCTGTGTGTGTCTCTCTGCCGCACGGTTCAGCATGTGTATGTCTCTGCCACACGGTTCAGCTGTGTATGTCTCTCCCACACGGTTCAGCATGCATGTGCCTCTCCCACACGGTTCAGCTGTGTATGTCTCTGCCACACGGTTCAGCTGTGTATGTCTCTGCCGCACAGTTCAGCTGTGTGTGTCTCTGCCACACGGTTCAGCATGTGTGAGTCACTCTGCCGCACGGTTCAGCTGTGTGTGTCTCTCTGTCGCACGGTTCAGCATGTGTGTGTCACTCTGCCGCACGGTTTAGCATATGTATGTCTCTGTCGCACAGTTCAGCCTGTGTGTGTCACTGCCTCATGGTTCCTCTTCTGTAGGTAGGGAATTAGGAGGGTGTCTTCTGGTTCCATGGTCACCACCTTAGATCATCTCTGTCCTGACTTTCTGTCTACCATAACTCAAGAGTGGCTTTGTCCTTCATCCCACAGGCGAGAGCAGGCAGTGGAAAAGAAGTATCCTGGGACCTACAAGCGGCACCCTGTCCGTCCAATAATCCACCCAAATGCCATGGAGAAGCTCATGAAAAGGAAGGGTGTGCCGCACAAGGCTGGAGTGCAGACTAAGCGGTGAGACAACTGTATCTGTGTATCTGATGTTTAGATAAATGGGGGGTGGGGAGGAACTGGAAAAGGGCAGTCTCAGATGTCTAGATGTGGCCTTTCTGGGGCTTTCTAGCAGCTCATGGCTGCAGGTAAAGCCAAGTAGGAAGATGAGAGAGCATGGCACAGACCCCAAAAGTCTCACTTTTACCACCTGAGGCCCTCAGTCTTAGTACCAAACACAGGACAAGGACGTGTACAACAGGGACAATCAGATCTGGTTGAAACTGCAGCCCTGTTTTATAGGTGTGTGACTTGAGCCATGTCACTTGGCTTCTTTCAACTCTAGTATCCTCATGGGTAAATGGTATCGTTATGGGATTTCTTTCTATTTCTCTCTTTTTTGTTGTTGTTTGTTTTTTGTGGGGTTTTTTTGAGACAGGGTTTCTCTGTGTAGCTTTAGAGCCTGTCCTGGAACTCTCCCTATAAACCAGGCTGGCCTCGAACTCACAGAGATTCACCTGCCTCTGCCTCCTGAATGCTGGGATTAAAGGCGTGAGGCACCACCGCCTGAGATTTCTTTTTATTCTTATAACCCTAGAAACAGAACTGAGCTAATTGTAATTCTTGATTTTTGACACAGTGATCAATATATTTACTTAGTTCTTAATAATATATATGTCACCACCAATAATAAACAGGGCATTGATATTACGCATACCGAGCCAAGAGGTTCCCTGTACTCTACCTTTACATGAAACTTTTATGACTTTTGTTTTATTTGGTTTTGTTTGTTTGTTGGGCAGTTGCCCAGACTGGCCTCAAACTCAGTGTCCTCCTGCCTCAATCTCTTAAGTAGCCAGGGTAACAAACAAGCATGTGCCCTCGCACCCCACTGCGAAGGCTGATTAGTGTGAAATCACCTATCGGGCATTGGTGCCCAAAAGCACGGCTTAATTTTTAGGACACCATTCTTTCCCAGTTATTTTTATGTTTTGATTTTTCAAGATAGGGTTTTGGCCTTCTCAGTGCTGGGACTAAAGGTGTGCGCCACCATGCTCAGCTTCTTTCCCTTTTCATAGCACTTGCTTTATGTTGATTTAATCTCAGTAATAGAGAGTGGAGCTACATCTCTGTGTAGAGTGTGTGTTTAGCTGCAGGGGGGCCCAAATTCAATGCCTAGCACCTTCAAAACATCTCAGGATACTTCTTCACTCCTTTCTGGAATCACCAAATGCTGTGGAGCCTTCTCGTTCTCACTTGCAGAGAACTGGCTCCCTCCTAGTCAGGCTACTATAAAGGAGAGAATGTCCTGGCTTGTGAGATTCAAGCCAAATGCCGTAAGAAAATAGGACGGAGAAACACAAGCCAAGAATGTAATTTATCTTTTAAATTTTTATTAACTTAGAAGTAGCAAGTTTTTATGGCATCTTCATACACACTTAGCTTTGGTTGACTCTCCGTGTCTTCTCTCTCCTCTTCCCTACCTCCCATCTCCATGCTCCCCATCCCTGCTTGAGCCCTTCTCCTCCTAGTATTCTCCCTCCACACCCACATTAGATGGATTCTGTAGCCCTCCCACTGGCCCCTTTCTGGTCTCCTGACCACACAGGCTCACTCACATAAGTACACGTATCTACACTTGGAGCTGGGATCCACATATGACAGACAACATGGGGAATTTGTCTTTCTGAGCTGGGGTTACCTCACTTAATATAACATTTTTCAGATCCATCCATTTCCCTGGATTTTTCATAATTTCATTTATCTTTGCAGCTGAATAAAATTCCATTGTGCATATGAATCTCATTTCCACCATCCTCTCTTCCGTTGACATATATGTAGTCTGCTTTCATTTCCTATATGTTGTGAGTCAAGCCGCAATAAATGCGTGTGCATGTCTCTCTGGAGCAGGGCACGCAGTCCTTCAGGTGCATTCGCAGGAGGGGTGAAACTAGGTTAGACGGTGATTCTAGTTCTAGCTTTTGGAGGAGCCTCTTGATCTCCATAGTGTGGACATCAGTGTGTGTAAAAGTGCATGCCTCCCCCCAAGCGTGCCTACGTTCCTTCCTCCATATCCGTGCCAGCATTTATTGTCATTTGTTTTCTGGGTGACAGTCACTAACTGAGGTGAGAAGGAATTTCAGAGTAGTTTTAGTTTGCATTTCCTTGGTGGTTAAGGGTGTGAGCCACTGTTTTATTCAGTGTGTGTGTGTGTGTGTGTGTGCGCGCGCGCGCACATAGGTAAGCACATGTACAGGTGCACATGTATGTATGGTGTGTGTGTGTGTGCGTGCGCGCATAGGTAAGCACATGTACAGGTGCACATGTATGTATGGTGTGTGTGTGTGTGCGCGTGCGCATAGGTAAGCACATGTACAGGTGCACATGTATGTATGGTGTGTGTATGTGTGTGCACGCGCATAGGTGAGCACATGTGAACAGGTGCACATGTATGTATGTACATATGGAAAGAGATCATTCTTGGCTATTGTTCCTCAGATGACATCCACATTGTTCTTTTGAGACAGGGTCTCACACGGCCTAGAGTTCACTAAGGAGGCTAGGCTGTCTGATCAGTGGATCCCAGGAATCTACCTATCTCTGCCTCCCCCTCCCCCTACTCAGCCTTATCCCCAAGCTGGGATTACAAGACCATGCCACTACACCTGGCTTCTTTTTAAACATGGGTGCTGGGGATCAAACTTATTTATTCGAGCTTATGTGACAACTCCAATGGAGGTAATTCTTCAGTTAAAAGTCCCTCTTGGGATGATGTATCAAACTGACAACCACAATCCGCCATCACACTTTTTGGTAGCCCCTCCCGGCCTGTTTTCCATAGGCTTCAGGAAGGGCATAGAAGTCCATCTAAAAGAGAAGCCCGAGGTGGGAGAGAGCTGTGCCCTGGAGTAAAAGCTATCGGGGTCAAAGAATCAGTTCCTCTTTGTGATAACAAGCCAAGCCCTGTGATAATGAACGCAGCTATGCTAACAGTGAGAGCACTTTACATATTGTGACTGACATGGTAGAGCAAGGTCACTCTGGGGACACTTGTCCTCAACTCTCCTTTGGGTGCCACCACAGCTTGTTACCAGCCCTGCAGGACTCCCTTGTTGCAGTAGAAGCCCTCGAACCCCTTCCATGCAGGTCCTCCCCACCGCTCAGGCTGACCAGCAGGAACATCTGCTGCAGTGCTCTGGGACTTGCACAGTGGTGTCTCAGGTGTTGCGACTGAGTTGGAAGGGGCTAGGGTAGCGTGCAGAGGGGGCTGCTGCCTGCCCTCTTCCAAGCCACCACATCTGAGCGCCTCGTGATTAGCTGAGAGAGGACTTCTGTTGTTTCAGAAAGGAATGTGTGGACCTCCCAGCTCTAAAACCTCCTGCTGGTTTGTGTCCTATCTGGTCCTAAAGAAGAGTGCTGCTGTCTGGCGAGAAGGGAGAGGTCCCGAGTCCATCCATCAGCTCAGAAACCACCTGTTTACATGTGGGATGAGGTTTCCTCCTGCGTGTAACCTTCACAACTGGTCCCAGAGGCACAGGAACAAGGAGGCCTCCTCCCGTTAGGATGGAAGTAGAATGTTAGGTTGGGGGTAGCCCAGTTGGTCGAGTGCTCCCATAACACGCACAAAGCCCCGGAGTCAGTTCCCAGTGTGGTATGAACAGGCACAGTGATGTGTGCCTTCAATTGCATCACTGAGGAGAAGACGCAGGAGCTCAAGGTGATCCTTAACAAAGTTCAAGGCCAGCTTGGGCTAGGGAGCCTGTCTCGTAGAGGGAGTAAACAGTAGAGATCCACTGTGCTTCTCACAAACCCTTTCTTGCTGCCTTTGCCTAACCCCCTGGGCCTTCTCCCTCCCAGACCCCTCCTTCCTGTCTGCCTTTAGGATTTATTGAGTGCCTGCTGTATACAAGGATGGCTCGTTCCAGTAGACCCTGTCTAGACCAAACTCCTTAAACTGTTTAGCTCTTGCCAATGAACCTGGGGTTTGTCCAATGGTACCAGATCTCTCTCCTCTGTGACGGATCATTGCACAGATGTCTGATGTGAGCAAACCCCCATGCCCATTCCTTGCTGCCCATATCTGTGAGGGTACCAGGAAGACATTAAGGATCTCATAGAACAAAGCTAGTGACCCAGAATCCAGAGGAATAAAAGCCGCCAGTAAGACAGCTCAGCTGATAACAATACGCAAACCTGATGACCTGGGTTCAATCCCCAGATCCCATGGTAGAAGGAGAGAACCAGCTCCTCACAGTTATGCTCTGGCCTCCATACATGCAATGAGGAACATACATAAACATATGCGCGCACACACACACACACACACACACACACACACACACACACCATGTATGCCTCTCACAGTAATAATTAAATTTTAAAAAGAAATCACTGTAACTAGACATTTAGGTTGTTTCCCAGATTTGCTATTTTTAAACAGTGCTCACTGTACTATTATAACATTAAGCAGCTCCCTGTGTGCACTGGGAAACATCCCTGTGTCTGTGAATGCTGACTGAGGGGCGTGTGAAGCCAGGAGGGTGACTCACACTAGTAGTTCCAGGACTCAGGAGCCTGAAGCAGGAGGATTGCTGTGAGGATGAGACTAGCCCCAGCGACAGAGTAAGACCCGATCTCAAACAAACAGACACACAATAACAAAAGTGTGTAGGGCTAGGGATGTGGCTGAGCAGGAGGGTGCTTGCCTAACAGGCACAAGACGCCAGGGTCGACCCACAAAGTTACAAATTTATAATCCAAGAGTGTATTTTAAAGTTTGGCGCATTTTACTCCAAACATGTTTCGATGTGTTTGACACAAATCTGTTCTTCTTCTTAGGCCAGACCTGTTACGATCTGAAGGTATCCCCAGTGCAGAAGCAGTTCCCACTGCATCCCCTCTGTCTGGAAGTCCCAAAATGTCCTCGTCAAGCAGCAAGAGCCGATACCGGAGCAAACCACGTCACCGCCGAGGGAATAGTAGAGGCAGCCACAGTGACTTTGCGGCAATCTTGAAAAGCCAACCTACCCAGGAAAATGCATCCCACCCCACCTACCTACATCACGCTCAGGCTCCGTGCCCTCCTCTCCATCAGCATAGCCCCCTCCAGCAGCAATACCAGCAACCCCCTTCTGACCTGCCTCAGAGCCACCACCCCAGACGCAATATACATGGGCAGGACATTGCAACCTGTGCCAATAACCTGAGGTATTTCGGCCCAGCAGCAGCCCTGCGGAGTCCACTCAGCAACCATGCTCAAAGACAGATGCCGGGCTCCAGCCCGGACCTCATCTCCACAGCCATGGCGGCAGACTGCTGGAGGGGTCCTGAACTTGAGCAAGCTGAGCCCTGGGGCTGCTGTCAGACCGAAGCCTACGATCCCTGTCTCCAGTGCAGACCAGAGCATGCTGGGTCTTTAGATGGTCCCACCACTGAGCCAGTGAGAAGGGGCCCAGACTGTTCCAGTTCACCAGCACACAATCCTCTTTCGGGAAATGCCCAAGACTCCGAGAGAATGGAGGCCAATGGATTCAATGGCTGTCAATCTGGTATTTCTCATCAGTTCACACCCCCAATACTACCTCAAAAGACACGGCCCCTTCAGAAGGTAAGGGATGACAAGAGTAGACTGTCCCTGCCATCAAATGCCATCACCCATGTGGTGCACATTATAAAACTGGGCATTAAAAGGCATGCCATTGGGAAAGGGTGGGACACCAAAAGTGGTGTTTCTTTTACTTCAAAGGCTCCTCCCTCGACAGTGCTCCAGTGGTAAGCCAGGGAGTGGATTTGGGGGGGTTACTGAATGGGGAGACTGGGATAACCATATACTAAAGATGTCACAATGTTTGCAAGCTATTGTCCTAGATCTCCAGTCTTGAGGGATGTCCCAAGGAAGTTTGGAGTGGAGATTCCTGGTGCATGATGGCAAACATGGTCTTAGAGAAGGCACATAGTGACTTTTTGCCAGCATTCTGTTTGGCTACACAGCCTTTTAAAACTGGTGCTTCTTAATCCCCTGGGCACCAATGCTCGTTACAATGTAACATCAGCAGCCATCTTGACTCAGCTAGCTCTGAATCCCGAAACCTGTTTGTCTCCTCCACTGGCTGCCTAGCAGTCCTTCATGATGTTGGAGATCTAAGCTTGGGAGTCACCAGTTCAAAGCCAGGGCTGTCCCCTTAGCACCTCTGTGAATCTGCCACTGTCTGTGCAGAGGGCCCAATAGTGGACTCTGCCAGGCTGGCTGACTTGAAGACTCCTTGAATTAATAAGTAGGAAGCATCTAGAATGGTGCCTGGAATGCAGCCTGCTTTAAATGTTAGCTTGCTTCGCTAAGGACTCTACCGGGTTATTGTGAACATGGTAAACGTTTAATCCTAGATGTTACTTCAGCTCATCATAACTGTTGAGGGGAGGAGGGGTGTAAGATGAGTTTGTTCAACTGGATACTTCTTGGGAAAGGAGCTAAGGCTGGGCACTATCTGCTGTCTCAGAACTGTGTTCCTTCCTCCAGGTGTGCCACTGCTGGCTGAGCAGAGGTCCACGTGTGCTTTCACGTGGCAACCTGGATGTGAGCTAATCCATTCTGCACCCTCCCCAGTCCCTGTAGCCAGTAACATAGAGTCCGCCATAGGCAGTAACATGGAGTGCATGCATCTAAATGGACAGGATGGCTGGTTGCCTAGTTGGTTGATCTGGTTTGATTTGGTTTGGTTGGTGTGTGGGACAGAGTCTTGCTGTGTAGTTCAAGCTTGTCTCAAACTCAGAATTCTCCTGTCTCAGCCTCTTACGTGCTAGGTTTGTAGACATGCACTACCGTAGCCTTGGTTTGTTTGGTGGCAGATGCCTTTGCCCCCAGCCATCTCGCCAGCCTGCCTTTTACCCACGGTTCTGGAGTCATCTCAGTAACCAATTTTAAAGCATTTTCATCAAGCCCCAGAGAAACCCACACCTTTTCTGATCCACTCCATGTCACAGCTTTGAACCGCCCTGCTGTCTTTCGGTGCCATCTCTAGCGCTGCAGACCCCAGAGCATGCAGCACCCTCAGCCTCATTAGAACCCCACACCCCGTAGCAGCTCAGCTTCCCTTTCCCCAGATGAAATTAAATCTGTTTGAGGTAAGAGAGATGGGAAGAAGGAAGATTCCACAGTCAATAAAGGTCTTTTCCCCTTGTCCTCCTCAGAGTGGAGATGACTCCTCGGAAGAAGAAGGGGAGGTGGACAGTGAAGTGGAGTTTCCTCGAAGACAGAGGTAAAGCCCCCACAGCCTATGTCCGTGTTCAATGTCGTGGGGAAGCTCCCGAGTGTGCCATGCAGGCTCAGCTAGAGGCCCGTCTGCAGCCACTTTACAGGGCATTTGAAGTAAACACTGACTTCTTCCCATGATGTCTGATGGTTGCCCTGCACAGCAGGTCACAGGTCATTGGATTCACTTCCAGAGAACTTCACAGTGAGGAGCATGAACACAGATCCACTGTCACTCTCCAGAGCACAGGGTCCGGTTTGGGAGAGGGGAGGGGTGGCACGTGTTTGTGGTGACTCGTGGTTCCTAGTGGACCTCCTTTGCTAATCTCTTCACGCTGTTGTAGCCAAATATCACAGACTAGGAAGTTTATGGAACAACACGTATTTCTCCCAGTTGTGGAAGCTGGGCAGTCCAAGATGGCAGTGACGATGATTCCGTTCCTAGTCACAGCTTTCTTCCTAGCTTGCAGACAGCCACCTTCTTCCAGTGTCCTCACACGTGAGAGAAGGATAAAATAGAGAATGTGGTGGGGCGCAGTTCAGCTCATGGCTCCTCTCTACTGCTGTAAACGTTGCCTTTTAGTCTTCCTCTGGGGTGGGAGATAACAGGACCCCGTCAAGGCGAGACAGCTAGCCACCCCTCCTCTGTTTAAGTCTGCCTGTTTTCCCCGCCTTCAGGCCCCACCCCTCCTCTGGTTAAGTCTGCCTGTTTTCCCCGCCTCCAGGCCCCACCCCTCCTCTGGTTAAGTCTGCCTGTTTACCCCGCCTCCAGGCCCCACCGCTGTATTCGCAGCTGCCAGTCATACTCAACCTTTAGCTCCGAGAACTTCTCTGTGTCCGACGGAGAGGAAGGGAACACTAGCGACCACTCAAACAGCCCCGACGAGTCCGCTGACAGACGGGAGGACCGCCTGGCTGAGAAACTAGACGACCTGCTGTCCCAGACGCCCGAGGCGCCCATCGAGATCTCCTTCCACTCAGATGGGCTGTCTGACAAGGAGTGTGCGGTCCGGCGCGTGAAGACACAGATGTCCCTGGGCAAGCTGTGCGCCGAGGAGCGTGGCTACGAGGTGGGCACCTCTCCCTCCTCCTCACGCCACTGAGCCGTTCGTGGTTCTCTGGGGTTTAGAGTAGCATCCTAGTATGCTTTCTGTTGCTGTGATAGGCATTATGGCCAAAAAGAACCTGGGAAAGAAAGGGTTGATTTCAGATTACAGTTCACAGTCCATCACGAGAGAAACCGAGGAGGCACCGAAGTTGAGCAGGGGCCTGGAGGAAGGAGCTGACGCAGCCACCGTAGAAGACAGCTGCTGCTGCTGACTTGTTCCCGTGGCTGCCTCAGCTTGGTACAACCCAAGCCCACCTGCCCAGGGAGTGGTTCCACCCACAGTGGGCTGGGTCCTCCCACATCAATTGCTAATCAAGAAAGCGACACCCAGACTTGCCTACAGGCCAGTCAGATGAAAGCGTTTTCTCAAGTGAGGTTTCCTCTCCTCAGATGACCCCAGCTTGTGTCAAGTTGACAGAACTAAGTAGGTTCAAGCCTCGGGGTCTTTATAATTTCCAATCAGTAGATAAAAGATGCACCACCTCCATGATGTAGACACAGGCGTGTAGCTGCAGGGTTCTCTGAATAAGGACAGTGGCTCACAAGTGAGCCAGAGACATGAAATGTTCGAAAACCCCCACCCCCTGCTCACCCCATCTCCCAATCCTGTTAGAGGACAGGGCGTCCCTCCCTCCGTGCCCTCACTCTCCTCTGGAGAGCCAGGGGAGTGTGGTGTTTATAGGTGTAAACCCTGGACTCAGACTCCCTAGACAGATGCAAAGCCCAGCCATTCTACCTACCATGTAACCTTGGGCAAGTTGCTTAGCCTCAATGAAGGTAAGTGTCCTTAGCTATAAAATGTGTGTGATATCTATCAAATCTATGAGAAATGGCCAGTTTCCGTAGGTGAGTAGACTGGATTAGCAGATGTAAAGGTCTTAGAGTAAGTGGTACCCGAGGCCCTGGAATGCTCTGGAAACAGGATGTGAGTCAGCATCGCCAACTCTACATAGCTCTTTTCTCCATCAGCTCCCCACCCCACCTCATCTGTCTTTGTCAGCTCCTATAACACGGGAGGTGTTCAACTCACCTTCAGTGAGGGTGGCAGAGGGAGGTAAGGGCTGCCAGGGGAAACCGTGCAGCATGCCCTCACTGAGGGTGGTAGGAGAGAATTAAGATCTCTTGTCTAAACTCTGCAGAACCCTGTGCAGTTTGGAGACTCGGACTGTGACTCTTCAGAGGGGGAGTGTTCGGATGCCACTGTTAGGACCAGCAAGAACTACAGCTCTGCCACTTGGTGACAAGGGCTCTCCGTCGGAATCCTCTCCAGCCCTAGACTCCTCCCACCTGCGTTCGTCCAGGAGGAGTGGCCCCATCCCAGAAACAAGCCACACTGACAGGAACATGAGATCAGTCAAATCTCTGGGAAAATACCCAAATGAAGTTGCATCTCACTGAGCATTTCAATCAAGAATGGCAGGGATCTCTTGTACTGAATACTCCAGCTACTGTAACATTGATATTTATTTTTGTTGGACATTTTAACACTTTGTATTGTAAAGAGTGAACTATATATGATAACAGATACAATAATTTCTTTACAAAAAAAAAAGGAAAGGAAAGAGGGTCTTTAGGAGCAACATTGGAGTTTGTGGGGCTGGGAGGTGTCACTGTCGCTTGAACACGGGACCAAGTCTTTTGTCCATACTTGAAGAGTTGCAATGAGACATACTGAACATTTACAATACAAGCCAAAAGAAACGCAGCCATGTTAAGTTCAACGGCTCGTCCGTGCGAGGGATGGAAATGACCTAGAAGCTGAGGGATCCGATAGCCCCAAAGCCTCGGAGCACACGCGCTTCCTCTGAGAGGGAAAAGCAAACAGAACTGGAACCGCACATGTGGACATGACTTCACTTCTTAAACACTAAGCAAAATCTGGCAGTAAAGGTTACAGTATCGTCAAGTCTTGCCCTTAGCAACAGCTTTTACCTTTAAAGGCTGCCACCCTCACCACCTCCATCAGCGTGGTCTTTCAGACTCGGGTGCCATTTCTTCTTCCTTTTCTTCCACCTGTTGGCACTTCTTTCAGGAAGGGGAAAGGGTCCTGAGTGGGACAGGAGGACACTGAGTGGCATTAGGAAAACCTACCTGTAAAACATACCATTCTTCTTCAGGATGGCCGCGTTCAGCGATACAAGCAAGATGGCGCAACCTTTCTCGGGACCCAGGTTGTCTATCTCCTGGAATCATATTGATTCACACGGACGGCAGCTAAGATGTGTGTATCCAGTGTCCAGTCCCAAACCACCTTTGTTTTTGTTCTCGATCTTACTCTAGCTTGGAAGCTTTGGTGGCTGTCTGTCAGTGTAGCATACAAGGCAAACTAAGCAGCTTGCAGGAAGGTGGCCTGTCTCACCACGTTTTGTTCAATGCTTCTTGTAAAATGCAGTCTGTTTTCATTCTGAACCACTGCAGTTTTGTTTAGGTAGGTTAGGAACCTTGTAGAAGGAGCAGCTGATGCTAAGCAGGAATTAGGATTACTTTACTATCTCAAAAGCATGTGGTTCTTCCTGTGTCCAGAGTCCTGCCTGGGCTATGAAAAGTACTCCAGGTAATTTGTGGAGTCTTGGCTTGCAGCAGGAAAGGTCTCGCAGCCTGCTGAGGGCTGGATCACAGGTGGGCCCCACCATGCCTGGCTTAAAGATGTCTTATCTAGAATTCGTATACATGTGCATTGGCCCGATTCCTGTCTCCAATGCAGGCTTCTGCCAAATCTGAACTTGCTAGATTCTGACATTTCATCCTGTAAGGATGTTAGGTTTTAAGACATTCCAACCCCAATGGAAATGGTGCCCCTGGCCGGGGGTCACTGACTGCATCAGCCAAAACTGAAAAGCAGGAGGGGATTTAGAGCCAGCCTTCTGTTTGACCTCTCCTTTGTTTACACTTTATGTTGAGACACTGATTTTAAATTTTAGTGTCTATAATTTTTAGCTCATAGGAAAGATGAAGGAAAATGTTTAACTTGGAAAGCAGTATTGTTTTGTTAAATTATTCCATTTTGTATGAACTGTAGCAGGACTACACAGGAGAGCTTAAGTTATGACATTCTTATCCTTGTTGTTTTACCTTATGTTGTCATAATTTTCTGTTGACCAGAAGGTGTGGCTTATTGTGTAGCACAATGACTGTTTCTTGCTAAACATGGATTATTATGGGCTTCTGTGGGCCTAGTGAGGGTCTGGGGATGGAGCTGTCTGTGGGATGCCTGGCATTCCTCGGTGTACTCCCTGGTGGTTTCCCTGGCTTCCTGGATGTAGCAGCTGCTCTGAGGGGGTGTGTTCTGCCCCGACAAACATTGGGTACACTGTGATGATTTTGTTTTTAACTGATTGTAAAATCTCCTGAATGGGCAGATGACCAAGTTGATGAACAAATCGTTCAAAAGTCCCAAAAGTTATAAACTTTCTCCTCCAATGTCTTAGAAATAAAATCATGGCACTGAAGTAGAGGCAAAAAGAGATTTAATGCTCTTACAGCAAGACAAAGCATTTCTGCGGAGGCTCGTGAGGCAGTTTCAAGAGTGTACAGCAAAGCAAGTCATCGCCTTCCCACTGAGCCTCACAAATTGGGAAGAGCAGAAAGACTAGAACAAAGGGAAATACGTAATGCCAGTCACGATCTGCTTCTGGAATAGACAAGAGTTCTAGGAGGTGGAGGCATTTGGGGGTCACAGGGCTGGGGAATGACATCAGAGGCACTATTCCCTCATCCTCCAGCCTCAGGTCCCTTATTCCTTGGAACAGAGACTCTTAATGTCCAACACAAAGCAGAACCAGCTGTTTACATAAAGGCCAACTTCTGTCTGGCACCTTTCAGTGTTGGTCCTCCCCAGAAACGCACCTGCTACATCAGTCTTCATTCTGAATTCCTGTCCTCTCTGTCCATCACTCTAAGGCCACTTTTAACTGGCTTAACTATCATAGGCTTGCTAGGGGTGTGTGTGGACTCCAGTCATTCGCTGTGCCATCAAGATAGGAGTAAAACCCGTCCTTTTGAATAGAATTACTGTTCTAAGCAAGGTTAAAAGGGAAAATAGGCTTCTCCTCACCTTACCCCCAGAGCCTGCCCTGAAGCAGGAAACTGGAGTGTGTTTCCTTGAGAACCTTGTAGTCAGCAGAACGCTGAGCCAGCTCTTCAGTGCCCTTAGCTGCCGCCACGTGTTGGTGCTTTGAGAAGCCTTGCCAGGCCCATCTCAAGCTTCGTCACTGGGTGCAGGATGAACACCTTCATTCTTTGGCCATCTGGTTTGGACTGACTACCAAGGGGAGTTTCAGTTTTGCATCGCAATCAAGCACTGGATTTCCTCTCTTCTTCTAGATCATGTCGCTGAATAAAAATTCCTCTTAAAATTGCTTAGCACAGGAACGGAGATGCCTGTGTCCACTTTGAAACATACCTCACCTGAGAGCTAGCTACAGGACTCTGGGAGAGCCTGCGCAGGGCAATGACGTGGTGTTGTAAGGTGTCTTGAGTAGCCTGATTGAAGACTGAGTATTTTAAGCCATTAGATCCACCAAATTCATCCTGGAATTGAGGTCATTTTGAGTAGGTGCTGTGTGGTACTTACTTGGGGCCCCACTGTGCTCTGCTGTCCCCAACCTGCTCTAGGTGATGGGGGCAGTGACTTTGGAGTTCGTGTCACTAACTCAGGGTTGTCAGTGTCCCCACAAGGTATCACTGATGTCTTCTCAGTGGGAACATGTTCCTATTGATTCGGTGGTTTACTGTTTTTTCTCATGCCCTTATATCTCAAATGTTCCTATTTTTTTTATTCCTTGAGAATGTGATAGATGTATACAATGAAATATGATCACACTCACCCCGTTCCCCCTCCGTAGCCCACTCAAAACATCCTCCTCCCAACTTGATGGTTTTGTTTGGGGGTGGGGTTTAGGTTGTTGTTTTGGTAACTCTCCGAGTCTAGTAGTGCCGCCCATGAGTGTATGTATATAGGGACACCCACTGTAGGGCATGGGAAGTTAAGTGAACCACTTCCGCGGACAAATGATGATCCTCCTTCCTCCAGTAGCTGTCAGCTGCCAGGAGCTCCTCAATAGGGTGGGGCCTGGAGATCGCCTGCCCACTTAAGTTCTCTTAAAGGAAGAAAATTCTTGATGGGTCTGCTGGCATATACCTTTAATCCTAGCTCTGGGAGAGGCAGAGACAGGTAGAGTTTTATGATTTCAAGGCCAGCCTGATCTACATTCAAGCTAGTCAGAGTGACTTAATGAGACCCTGTCTCAAAACACACACACACACACACACACACACACACACACCTGCCCTGCTTCACATATACCATGTTTATTTCTCCAGAAACCAAAACACCGCCCTATGCCACCATGGACCACCTCCACACTAAGCCCCATGGCAGCACCTTTTACTGAGCACTGTATTGCTCCCTGCTGAGCCTTGCTACAGCCTCAGAACCACTCACAGCAGCATCTGAAGCATCAGTCAGTACTTGTTGGAATTTATGTGCAAAGTGTTTATTAACCCAGCTCCCAGCTCTGAGCTCACAACTGTTCCCTAAAGACGATTCTAGACCCTCAGTTCCTGATGGACAAGTCTAGGACCACGCCAGTAGTCTCCTTATGGGTTCCCTAGGCTGACAGGGGCATGTCATGACAAAGGGCCACCTGCCTTCATTCTTCCCCTTTGGACTGCACCAATCACATCTCTACCCACACTGAGCTGTACCGGATGAGCACACCCTTCCCTGTCTGGGAACTGAAGTGTGCAGTCTGTTACCTGCTTCCTCCCAAAATGCTGTGAAACTTTGTCAAGACTTCTCTTCAACTGTCAGTGTGGTCCAGCCTTCCCAGGCAGCAAGGTTTTTCTTTGCTGGTGCCATAGAACAAACATCCCAATACGCTTACCTCCCTCCAGACTGTCCCATTGGGTGTGTTTGTTTACTTATGTGCATGGCTTACTTGGCACTGCAGATGCCCCTTCAAACAAGAATGGACTGAACGAGGCTGCTGAGTGGAGGACCCAGTGGAACCCAGAACGTTTCTCAGGGACAGGTAGCTGGAGAGGATAGCTCTCAGAAACAGGGAAAGAGCTGGGTGAGGCTTTGGTAAATGCCACATGCATGGCAAAGGCGTGCCAGCAGGATTTCAGGTGCCACATCCTCAGCAGATAGCAAGGCCACTGTCAGGAAACTTCCAGCACAATCACTGCCCTGCTCCCCAGGGCTCCTGCACAGCACTGGAGGTCACTGGTATCCGGCCAGTGACCACAGTCCTCCCATGGCTACAAGCTAGAGACCCAGCCACATGTGCAGGATATTAGGAAAAGGTATCTTGACCACATCATCCAGGGTTCTTCACCTTTAGAACCCCATTTCACAGCGGATGAGGAAGTCTTTTGAGTCTTTTTTATTAATGTATGTATGTCTGCCCCCACCCCACCCTCTCTTTCTCTCTATGATTATTTATTACAATAATTTGAGCTCCTGTTGATTCAGGACAAATGAATTTCTTTCAAGTATTAAAGTCTCAAAATGAACTCCCTTGTCTCCTTGAAGCTCGCAGGTCTCCGGCTCCACGTCATTTTCAGATAAGGGCTCTGGCTTTGTACCGAACAGCAATGGGAACAAGAATGATTATGAAAACAAACCAATGCATGAAATTAAACAAAAAGTCCACCTGGTGTGTTCTGGTCCTGTCTTTTCCTAAAGGTGCTGTTGGCGTCCTACAAGCTGCCCTGCCAGGTTTTCAGGGAAAAGGCAAGCCGGGTTCTGCAGCCAGGACTCTTAATTTCAGGGAGAAGCACTAAAGATGCGGTTTCCATTTTGTCTGAGATTTCCCATAAAGGCTTAGACAGGCACTCTGGTTCTTCCTGAGCCATCTGCCGCCATTCCTGCAGCTGTCCTGTTACCAATGACATCACTCTTAAAGAAGCCAAGAGAGGCAAATGGGAAGCTGGCATGATTTGGTCAGAGGCCTGCTGGGAATAGGGAGCTAAACCAGTCTTTTGAATTATATTTTTTTAGTCAATTCTGGTCCCTTTCATAAAGGCAGTTTTGAGTCAGCAACATGCAGAGACAAGCTCTTAAGTTCTGTCTTCACTGCAGAATGTTTATGTCCATGGATTAGGGAAATCCCTTCCCCTGTGAGCTCAAGCCTGATAAGGCACACTTGTGCGGAGCCCCGCTGGGGCCACGCAGGCAAAGGGGGAGAAAAGTCTTCTCTCCCTCTCTACTCCAAAATGCTCTGGAATCACCGGCTTCAAGTGTAGCCTCTTTCCTGTCATCCCCTCAATTGAAAGGCTTCTTTTACACATTTCTTTTTTTAATGAAAGCCTTAAAAACGCCATGACATGGAAATCCACTCTCACTGTGGAACCCGAGCGCACACATCAGGCCTCGACTGAAGCCTTGGCAAGACTCCTGGCTGAGCCCAGACCTGAGACAAACACACCAGCCCAGCCTGTGATGCCTGAGAGCAGCAGTGCTGGCAAGTCCTTGTCGTGAGTTGTCCCCATGAGGTCCAAGCCCACAGAGCTATCAGCCCAGGGCCACAGCTAGAAGACACAATGACAGCTGTGAGTGATGACCAGACAGGCAAGCACTCACACCGCTCTTAACTGTTTGTATTAAAAAGTACAAATTCCTCAGCTGTTCTTGCAAAGGCAAAACAAAACAAAGAATCACAGTGTGTTTACTGGCTGACAGCCTCCTGTACTGACGCCACTCTCCCAGCAGGAGGCAGTAGAAGGGATTCCCAGGCGGAAAATACATAACCAGCCATTTGATACAGAGAAAGCATGGCAGGGCCTTGGGATGAGGGATCATTTCCTCAGAACACATTCAGAACATGCAAAGCTGGCTCCATTCATATTTAATCATGTTTGAATCAGCTTAACTCTGAAGACATACAACCACAAGGAGCTTAGACATAGAAACATCAGTGTGTGAACGGGGATATTACAGGAATCACTGCACTCGAGCTGTGTGTAAGTCTTAGGCAGTTCGCCATGGGTCCCTTGGCCTATGGAGAGGTAGATCATCAGCAAAAAGGTAGAGAAGACACTCTTCAGGAGACTAACGGGCTAGAGTTCTGTCTGATACAAACATCCACAGGGACTTAACAGGTGTACCTGTTACACAGCCTGTCCAAAAGGCCACCAGCATCTTCTCCCAAGACATCTCAGGGACTGGCAAGAGGCAAGCCCAACAGACTGAGTCCCTATTATTGGACAGAACCAAAACAAGATTTTCTAGAAAGCAGTCCATTTCACAGAACCCTGCTAAATGGGACTGGACCCTCAAGCAGAGTGCCCTTCTGATAGGCCTCTGCACGCACTAGAACGCCGTTCACATCACCTTCCTGAGGGTAATTAAAACACAGTGAGGACAATAGAGGACCGTGCCCATCACACAGACCAGCAGCAGAGTCCAGGGCTGTGGTAAACATGGCACCTGTGTCACGCGTCCTTCCTGCCACCGAGGTGACGAGTACTCCTTGGGTCACTCAGGGCCAGGTGCTTTTGGCTGAATTTCTTGATGAGGGTTCCAGGAACCAAAGCAACCAGGGCTATGGCCAGCAGCTTCAGGACAGTTTCCCAGGAGAAAAGAGCATCCAGAGAAGTGAGGGTGGACAGGATGGAGCCAGTCTGCACGCAGATGAAATTGTATGGAATCAAACCTGGAAAAAAGCAAAGTGGAGACAGTCCATTAATGTGGCAAGATGGTGGGAACGGCACTAGATGCCAGCCAGGGATCTAGAACAGCGACTCAGTCTCCAGCTCTTAACCCCCTAAATGTTTAACCTCCTTCCTTTTCTCCCCACGCTTCCTATACACATCCAACAAAAGGCCTTAAAATGGGCCACACAAATATATATGTGTGTGTGTGTGTGTGTGTGTGTGTGTGTACATACACATTTCCATAAGAAAAATTTATTACCCATACATAAAAAAATACTAAGTTAGGGCATGAGCTGAGAGATGCTGGAGTCTGTGCCCCTGCTGAAGGTGGGACCCAGGAGCCGAACCAGAGAAAGAGACCAGCAACATGAAATTTTCAGTGTGCATTAAAGACTATCAAAACCCAACAAACAAAACAACTTTCTTCAAAGTACAACTTTGTTCTGCACTCTAAGAATTCAGCTGGCTTCTGGACTCCATAGTCTGCCTGGCAGCCGGGCAGCAGGTGGCATAAAAATTCCTTAGAATCAGGCACGGTGGCACATAATTGCCGGAATTAGGAGGCGGAGGCAGGAGAATAGCAGCAAATTCAAGATCATCCTGGACCACGTGCTGAGACTTTGTCTCAAAACCAAAACCAACTACCAAGAACCCTGTGATGTGTAAGGGAAAAAGGAAAACGCTAGGTCAGGCATAAGGGAGCACACCTTCGGCGCCAGCACTCAGGAGGGAGGCGGAGGGATCTCTGTGTGTTCTAAGACTTCCTAGTCTACAGAACAAGTTGAGAGCCAGCCAGAGCTCCATCGCGAGACCCTGTCTCAAAAGGAAATGGTAAGCCAAGTGTAGTGGATGCCTGCAGTCCCAGTGCTTGGAAGACTGACAGACAGACAAACCTGAAAGTTTGAGGTCTGCCTTGGCTACCATCACACAGCAACATCACAAACAAATAATAAGGCAAAATGCATTCTTGGCTCCACCTCAGAGACGCTAGTTCTGCTCTGCATTAAAACCCAGGAGCCCGTATTTTAGAGGTCTTCCCCCCCCCCCCCCCACTCCTGAGTTTCTGATTGGCTAGGACCCTGATAACCCATTCCTCTACTTCAAGGAAGAAGTATGTGAAAGATAATGATCAGACCGTTCAAGGTCACACAGCCTGGCCCTCAAGAAGGAACTCTGTCTCCAGAGTCTTTCCAAGCTGGTGTCACTTTGGTGATGACAAGCTTTTAGCCCCCATTTGCTGAGACGCTGAGGTGCTCGGCGAGATGCTACAAGAGCTGGCTGCGGTCAGCCTGCTTCCGTCTCTCTCAGACAGTCCTATTAATAGCAGCTGCACATTTGTTAACTTGGACACAAACCCCTGAATGTCATACCCCACACTCTAAGAAAGGTCTGAGCATCTTTGCCCCTGGCTTAAGGAGGGCGGTGGCTTACCGTGAGAAGGTAACGCTCACAGATGGGTGGGTTTTGGTCACTTTAACTTACCAGCAAAGGTGACCTGAAGCCCACACTTCAAGAAACACTGCTCCTAACTCAGCTCTGAGCCAGCTAAGTGATTTCCTGAGTGGAAATACGGTCATACTGTTCTCAGAAGACAGGTAGAAGCCTCTCTGATGCCAGCCCTCCCTAAAACCCCTTAGTCAAAGGGGGCAGTGCCAGAAAGGAAATCCCTTGCTCTGCACCGGCCCTTTAGCCTGCTAGCACTTCTTGAAGCCAAGTCATGTAGTTTACAGAGATGGTCCTGTTCAATCCCAGGGCCCAGCATGTGCTGAGCACATAAGAAGCACCGAATTTAGCCACGGAATGAACAACCCTTAGTTGTTCTAAAAGCATTGTATGGGTTTCACGTTCAAGCCAGAGGAGGTTTGAATCAGAGAAGGCTGTGTCAGGGGCAGGCTTGGAGATGCTACTGGTGGGCAAGTGAGGGAGGGCAGGGCCTCCACCAGCACCCCACCCCCATCTTACCGATAAGCACGGAGAAGAAAAACTGCACGATGGGGATGTTCAGGATCGGGGCCGACAGGTTCAAGAACCAGTTTGGTGTCATGGGGAAGAGTCTGAGGAACAGCAGGAAAAAGAACAGGCCGTTTCTGTTCTCCTCCACCTGCAGAGAGAGCCACAGTCAGGAGCAGAAGGGCTCTCCAGCTAGCTCTGAAGCTGAATGGCTCCTTCCCAGCTCCTCCCACATCCCTATTCTGAAAACACAGCTACCAGCTGGACAGGAAATCCCAGCACTCAGGAACTCGGGAGGCCGAAACAGGAGAACTCCTACAAGGTTGAAGCTAGCCTGAGTTACGCATGAGACCTTGTAGCAATAAAAACAAAAACTGGGGGGCTAGAGAGATGGCCTAAGTGGTTAAGAGCACAGGCTGTTCTTACAAAAGACCAGGGTTCAATTCCCAGCACCCACATGGCAGCTCACAACTGTCTGTAACTCCAGTTCTGGCATCAGCACACAGACATACATGCAGACAAAACCCCAATGTACATAAAAAAATAAATAAATTTTTAAAAACTTAAAAGCATTTTTTTAAATTAAAAAAAAAGAACAAAAACAAAAACTAGGCTGGGGAGATAGTGCAGACAGTAAAATGTGTCCCCTGTCAGCATAAGGATCCACATTTGATCACCAGTAGCCATGTCAAATAAAAATAAGCCTAGGGCCGTGGCACCAGCCTGGGATCCCAGTGCTGGAAGCAGAGACAGGAGGATCCACGAGGTTTGCTGCCCAACCAGTCTCGTCAAATCAGTGAGCTCCAGGCTCAGTGAAAGACTGTCACATATCACATGCACTCACACACACACACACACACACACACACACACACACACACACACCAACACACATACACGCACGAAGTTAACTAAGTAGCTGAGAATCAGAGGGGTCAGACACTCAACTCAAAGCTAGAAAGCAAGTAAGGACAAGAATGGAACTGGGATTTGATCGTGGGTCTCTGCTTCCGAAAGACATCAAATGAACTCTCCCCAGCTCCCAGGTAGGGTGAAGGAGCACTGTGGGAAAGCCCTGCTTCTCGCTCCTCTCAGACAGGGAGCTGATGCTCAGGGACTAGCACTGAGGTGTGCCCCCATCTTACCTTCCTCTGCAGCAGGGCCACTTTATCGGGAAAGTAGGAGATGACCAGCTGTTTGCCAAAAATGCTGGAAAGCAGGTAGCAGCATGTGGCACCCACCGATGTCAGCACACAGCACAGCAAAAGTCCCAGCCATGGCCCAAACAAGGCACCAGCCAAAACATTCTGCAAAGAAAGAAAGACCTCGGCCATGAGAACATCTAGCCGCTGTCAGTGGCCTGTCCTGTAGCCAGTGGCCTGCCTGTAGCTAGTGGACTATCCTGGAGCCAGTGGACTATCCTGGAGCCAGTGGCCTTTCCTGTCCTGGAGCCAGTGGCCTGTCCTGGAGCCGGTGGACTATCCTGGAGCCTGTGGCCTGTCCTGTCCTGCAGCCAGTGGCCTGTCCTGGAACCTTTGGCTTATCCTGGAGCCAGTGTACTATCCTGGAGTCAGTGGCCTGGCCTGGCCTGCAGCCAGTGGCCTGTCCTGTCCCGGAGCCAGTGGCCTGTCCTGGAGCCTGTGGCCTGTCCTGGAGCCTGTGGCCTGTCCTGGAGCCAGTGGCCTGTCCTGGAGCCTGTGGCCTGTCCTGGAGCCTGTGGCCTGTCCTGGAGCCTGTGGCCTGTCCTGGAGCCTGTGGCCTGTCCTGGAGCCAGTGGCCTGTCCTGGAACCTGTGGCCTGTCCTGGAGCCTGTGGCCTGTCCTGGATCCTGTGGCCTGTCCTGGAGCCTGTGCATTGGCTCCCTCCCTTTCAGAGATTTTCACAGCCAAAACCCAAGGCCCATTTTGGCAAATGGAAACATAGAATATAAGCCTCGCCTTAGGCTCCTCACCTGTACAAGGACAAGGCCGAGACCTCAGTGGACATTGGCAAGTTGAAAAGGAGACTAGGTACAGACATTACCTGACTGTGACAAGGGGTACAGTTACCCCATAGTCACTGGGGCACCAAAAAAGAGAAGTGAAGCTCACAGGTTATTATTACTATTGTGCAGACAGCGAATGGACCTTGGGCAATCTGAGTAGATGCCTTCTTGGCTTTTCACATGATTAGTAAGCTCTCGCTGCACTCCTGTGTTGGCCACAGTCCTAACTGACCCGTAAAGCCTTAGCTTCACAAATATTGAAACGTTAATCAATACTTCTAAGTGCAGTTTGGCTGGTGAATATCGCCCTGCCTCATAGCATGGGATCTGGGAGAAAGCACATGGGGAAAGCCAAGTGTGCCGGCGCAAGCCAATGACCCCAGCACTTGGGAGGCTGAGACAGGAGGACTATTTTGATTTCAAGGCCAGCCTGGGCTAGCATATGAGTTCCAGACCAGTCTGCGCTACAGAGTGAGGCCTCGTCTCAAAGCATGAGCTGGACAGACGGCTCAGTGGCTGACAGTGCTGCCTGCTAATGTGGGGGACCAGTGTTTGGGTCCCAGCACCCACGCTGGGTGGCTGGCAACTGTGTAACACCAGCTCTGGTGCCCTCTTCTGACCTCCACAGGCACCTATACATATATGTACAGACACACACGTACACATAAACCAATCTTTTAAAAAGTATGAGCGAGTGAGTAAATGAACCAGTGAACTAAGGTAAGCAAACAGGCAAGAGGGGACCTCGGCGGTGAGGCTGTGGCTGCAATATATACTTGGCATACATATGTATGCGTAAATATGTCCTAAGTAATCCTCAATAGACCTCTGTCTTGTGCTACCCCCATCCTACGGGGAGAAACAGTCACACAACCAAGATCACACTAGGCAGTATTAAAATGCACCCCCAATTCCGGGCACACAGCCCTTACTAGTCCAGGCTCTATAGCACCCAATTGCAGCTAGATCTTTCTTTGTCCTGAAGCAGGATCAGCTCAAGGGGGAAGTCAGTCCCAGGTCGGCTCTGACCTCCACCGTCCAGCTCCCTCTCTCAGACATGTTTGCTTTTCTTCCCGTTTCCAACCCCCCAATCTGCTTGGGTAGATCTAAGCTGGATCGAGAGTAGGAAAGGTGCTGAGAGGAGAGGTGGAGCAAGACAATGGGAACCTTGGAGCATCACTAAGTGCTGAGTGCCCACTTGTGCCAGCCTCCCCAGCTCATGTTTCATTTCGTCCCGCCCCACAACCAAAGGGGGACCTGGGGGAGCGGCCACATTTTACAGAAGAGGAAGCCGGTTGGAAAGAAGGCAAGACACTGACCAGGAAACTGGAGCCAGGGATGGCAAAGCCCTGTTTGTAGAGGTAGGCACTGCAGAAGAGCAGGAACACATAGGCCTGGTGCTCCTTCCGGTACTCTCTAAGGACCTCGGAGAGCTCCCGCAGCTCCGCTAGATCTGAGGGGAACCACAGTGACCTAGGGATTGGAAAATCAGATGGAAACATGGGTTCCAGAGAAGCCTCGTGCCTAAGAAAGTTACTCGATGTGTATTTTTCTAGAGTAGGTTACATGTAATCTGGCCATCTGGGAATACACAAAGAAGAACTCGAGATGACAGGTGACCCAGTATAACTCAACACAGGCCGATAGGAGAGCCCTGGCATGGGATCAAGAGACCCGAACGGGCATCCCCATTCTGCTGTGTTCCAGTTGTAGTGTCCATGGGTCTCATGTTCCTCGCCTAAAAAGAGTCTGGTGCTGGATAACCGCTGAATTCCCTCTTTACGTACTCAGGGGGTGTAAGATGGAATCCCGCAGCCTCCCCCACCCTGAGCATGGCCTCATCACTGATCTGGGTTCTAGTCTTTTTGATCTAGTCCAAAGAGGCAAGTATATGCATTTCCAGCAAGTGCTGGGCATCCTAAATTGCCTGCCTTTCAAGGAGACCCCTCCCCAGCAAGCCCAGAACTATTTAGACACCATGTTGACCCAGATGTACTAGGCAAAAACAAGTTTCAATTTTATCTATCTCACATCATCAATACAGCTTTCTTGATAATACGGCAGGCTCGCAGCCAATCCTTTCCACAAGCCTCTCTTTTCACCCCGCTCTAGGCCTGGAGCATTGTGAATCCGGTCCAAGGGTCACAGGACAAAGACTACCCTGCCTCTGCCATCTCAACACTCCAGCAGAGATAAACTGTAAGCAACCCCTCCTAGTTCTCCCGAGTACCTCTGACATTCACAAGAAAGCTCTTTCAGTTCCAGTAAAAGACAATGGTTACTGAAAACAGTTGTCCTGCAACTCAAATACCAATTAAGCTTCTTGATAATGCGGCAACGCGCCAGGCATATTTCATGCACTTTGTAAGTAGTATGCAGCAATCGGGCAACCCGCCCCTTGAGTCTGCTGCCGCCTCCCGACGCCTCCTGACTCGCTCGGCTGACATGGGGAGCAGTCAGGCAGGAAGAGGCCAGACCGGATCACAGCCTCATAACCCCAAGTCCGGGCTGCGCCTCTCAAGATTGGCTGGTGTGGTAAATTGGGTTGAGGAAGAAGAGCCAAGGTGGCCGAGGTGGCTGGGGCTGGGAGGCGACCTTGCGTGCGGAAAAGCGCCAAGGTCGCCCCGCGCATCACTGGCAACCCTCCGACCTCTGCCCCACTCACCGGCCCGCGCCCTCGCACTCACCGGCTGCCTTGGGGCTCCTCGGCCGACGCCAGCCTCGGCCCCACGGGCAGCTGCGTGGACAGCAGGTACAACGCGAAGGTGCAGCAGCCGAATACCAGGAGCAGGCCGAGCAGCGCGCGCATACCGCGGCCGGGCCGGAGAGCGCGCTCCCCGCGTGGCAGCGCCGAGCCCTTTCCCGAGAGCCGACTGGGCGGGCGGAGCGCGTTCGCCGACGGACGGGGTGTGGTCTTATGTGAAGCCCCGCCCTGCCCCGCTACAGGCCCCGCCCCCTCCAAACGTGTGCTGGTCTGTGCTCTCCCTGCCTTCTCCGCTCTGAGCTCCTACAGTGCAGCGCTGGGAGTGTTAGGGGTGAGTAGCGAGCCTGCCACCGTCAGCTTGCAGCATGGTGGTCAAACAGCCTGGTCCATAGTCTGTCACACAAAGCGATTGTAGCCAACAAATGTGGAACTGGCGCTGATGGTGACCACCACAGAAATAAACAGACTTGCCTTCTGTTCGGTGCCTAATGGGTGTTCACTATCCCCACTCCTCATAAACACATTTCAGGATGTGTCTTAACGGATGAAAAAAAATCTCAGCATTAAAACTCTTGTCTTGGAGCTAGCAGGTACAAACCTGTAACACACATCTAAGTCTTAAAAAGAGTCTGTAATGCTGGACATGGTGGTCATGTGATTGATCCCAGCATTTAAGAAGAAGGACCCGGAGTTCAGTCATCTCTATATACTAAGCAAGATCCAGAAAAGGAGCAGCGTAGGAGGTAGTGAGAATGGCATCTCCCAAAAGAAAACCCAGATTCAGATATCCAAAACTAGTGTGGTCCTCACACTGTGTGAATTCTGAACGATGTGAGGTTTGCGTTTACTCTCTAGGATGAGTGAGCAGATGAAGGAGCAAGTGAGCTGGCCCTAAGTAAGCCAACCTTCAGGGAAGCCCGGGACTTGTGAGAAATGAATGAGAATTGACAACTTGGGGAGTAGATTGGCTGGGGAAATGGTGCTTCGATAAATTACAGGTAGCAAGATAACCCTGGAAGCATTTAATAAGAGTGATTCCACTAGCCAGACATGGCGGTGCACATCTGCAATCCCAGCACTTGGGAAGCTGAGGCAGGATGGAGACTTTGAGGGCAGCCTGGGGTTACAATGAGAACCTGTCTTCAAAAACAGGGAGGGGGAAGGGGAAAGATTCCATTCTCATCTGAGAATTCTACCTGTCGGAGTAAGTTAACCCTGAGTTAACAGCAAGCATCCTGGTGGGAAAACAAACAACAACAACAAAAAAGAGGAGGAAGGACCACAGCAGTGGGAACAGGACCAGAGGGACAGTGCACAGTGCACACTGGAGGCTTGAAATGACAGCCCATATGACTAACAAACCGGGGGAAGACTTCAAAGGCTCAAAAGCCACAAAGCACTTCAGAGCACCTCTTGGTGTCAAATAGGGAACGTGTGTCAAAATGCAAGAGTACAAAATCCTTGCAACTGGACATGCAAGAACTGAATCCACAAATATTCTTGGCCTTGGTTTTTTTTTCATTTTTAATTTTTTCATTTTACATACCAACTACACTTCAGCATCCCTCCCCTTCTCCCTCTCACGGCCCCCCCAACCGAACTCCCCAGCTACTCCTCAAAGTGGGTAAGGTTTCCCATGGGGAGTCAACAAGGGTCTGGCATATCAAGGTGAGGCAGGCCCAAGTCCCTCCACCCTGTATCGAGTTTCAGCAAGGTACCCCTCCATAGGAAATGGGCTCCCAAATGTCAGTTCATGCATTGGGGATGAATTCTGGTCCCATTGCCAGTGACCCCACAGACTGCTAAGCTGCACAGCTGTCGCCCACATTCAGAGGACTTAGTTCGGTCCTATACAGGTTCCCCGGCTATCACGCCAGAGTCCCTGAGCTCCCACTAGCTCGGGTCAGCTGTCTCTGTGGGTTTCCCTATCATGATCCTGACCCCTTTGCTCATATAATCCCTCCTCCCTCTCTTCGACTGCACTCTGGGAGCTTGGCTCAGTGCTTAACTGTGGATCTCGGCATCTGCTTCCATCAGTTGCTGGATGAAGGTTCTATGATGACAATTACAGTGTCCATCAATCCGTCTACCGGGAAAGGCCAGTTCAGGTACCCTCTCCACTATTGCTAGGAGTCTTAGCTGGGGTCATCCTTGTGGATTCCTGGGAGTTTCCCTAGCACTAGGTTTCTCCCTAACCCCATCATGGCTCCCTCTATCAAGGTATCTCTTTCCTTGCTCTCCTGCTCTGTCCCTCCCCCAATTCAACCATTCCATTCCCCCATGTTCTCCTCTTCCTCCCCTTTGCCCTCCCTCCTCTACCCTGTCCCCACATTCCAAATTTACTCAGGAAATTTTATTTATTTCTCCTTTCCAGGGGCATCCTATGCATATCTCTCTTAGGGTCCTCCTCGTTACTTAGCTTCTTGGGGGTTGTAGATTGTGGCCTGGTTTTCCTTTTCTTTACATCTAATATCTAATTATGAGTAAGTACACACCATGTTTGTCTGTCTGGGTATGGGTTTCCTCACCCAGGATGCTTTTTTTTAAATAGTTCCATGCATTTTTGGCCTTGTTTTGGTATCAAAGGACTGCCAGCATCCCAAAGGCCCATCATTTCAGGACTGGTAGGTTACTTATGACACTTTCAAAAATGGGATATTAAAACACTTCCTAAAAGAAAGAGGCAGTTCTGCATATCCTGAGCTGATATAGTGTGGTGGTTTGAATGAGAAGGGCCCCGTAGATGCAGTAGCTAAGACACAGGTACCAGATAGCTAGACTAACAGTCAAACAAGTTGCTATGATAGGCTGGAGAAATGGCTCAGTGGTTAAGAGCACTGACTGCTCTTCCAGAGGACACGGGTTCAATTCCCAGCACCCACATGGCAGCTCACAACTGTCTGAAAATCCAGTTCCAGGGGATTTGACACCTCCACACCAATGCACATAAAAGAAAGAAAAATAAATCATTAAAAAAATTAAAAAAAAAGAGAGAAGCAGCCCCAATGCACACCACAAAAAAAAAAATACACTATGAGAGCCAAGCGGTGGTGGCACACACCTTTAATCCCAGCACTTGGGAGGCAGAGATAGGCGGATCCCTGTGTATTCAAGGCTAGCCTGGTCTACAAGAGCTAGTTCCAGGACAGGCTCCAAAGCTATAGAGAAACCCGGTCTCGAAAAACCTAATATAAAGGGGGTATACTTTATCTTTTCAAGATACTGAAGTAAGGCAAGGCATAGTGCCAGTTTGAGAGCCTGATGCAAGTGGCTTACAAGTTCAAAGCCAGCCTGGGACAAAACATAGTGAGACCCTGTCTTTTCTATTGCTGTGAAGAGATACTATGACTAAGGCAACTTATACAATCATTTAATTGGGGGCTTGCTTACATTGTGAGCAGGTCAGCCCATGATCATCACAGTGGGAAACAAAGACAGGAAGAGCCTGGGATCCCCCAGTGCTCCTAGAGCTAAGACGCTCAGTGACCCGAGGACCTCTCTGCAGTTTTTACTTCCTAAAGGTGCTGCTAGCTACCTCGCGAGAGCCCACGTGCATCAGTGGAAGAGGGAAGTGTTCAAAGAGCTGGAAGAGGCGATGTGTGCTGTGACCAGAAATGAGGTCTGAGCTGACGCCCTGAAGAGGGGACACAAGGGCAAGGAGCTGAGTGGTGAGTGGCAGAGACCTGGAGGAGCCAAGAGTGCACACAAATTCAATTGTGTCACTCATCTGGGATATAGAGACAAAGATGAAGGAGGAAAGGAAGACAGGCAATGGCTCCCACTCCTCGGTGCTAGTATAGTCCCAGCACCAGGGAGGCTGAGGTAAGAAGATCCCAAGTTCAAGACCAGCCTGAGCATCATAGTGAAACCCTGATGCAGGAAAGCAATGTGTCCAGGGAGGAAAAAGGTTTGGGAAAGAATTGCCACCCTTCTGGGTCCCTTCACCTGCCATCACCATTACCTGAAAGCCATTGAAACTTGTCTCCACTCCACAACAAACTTCCTTTCTTACCCATTCATTCACTCACCCACCCGTTCATCCCACAGCAGCCTCCCAGGGTCGACATCAGCTCAGTGTTGTGCTAAAAGCCCAGGAGTCCCAAGAGTTTGTGATTTGGCAGAAATTCCAATTCTTGACATTTGTACAGTTATTTCGGCCCTCTGGAGAAAAGGGAAAGAGGACAAAAAGTGGCCATGCTAATACAGGACCAATAAAAACTTCTGAAATCAAAGGCCCTCACCACGTCCACTGTCCACATCTGGGTGTGGCCACTCCTGTGAGTGACAGTGCACCAAGCCTTCCTCCACCCAGAGTGCAGCCATGTCTTCTTACACAGAGTGGACTCTCGCTATGTAGGGAAGCCTAGAAGATGTGGAGGACGGTGGCGGCTGTCCTTGGTTGTCAACTCGACACCATCTGGAATTAACTAAAACCCAAATGGCTGGGCACACCAGGGATGAATTTTCTTTCTCGATTCAGTCATCCGAAGTGAGAAGACCCACTCTGAATCTGGCTCTTTGAGTTAAGAAGACCCACCTTTCATCTGGGCCACACCTTCTGCTCAGTCAGTATAAAGAACACGAAAGAAGGAAACTCGCTTCCTTTACGTGTTTGTTCTCAATGGCAAATCCGTTTCATTCCCTGGCATTGCAGTCTACTTTTTCGGCATTATGTCATATACAGAAGACCAGCTGAGACATCCAGCCCTGTGGACTGAACTACTGGGACTCTAAGACTCTCTGTTGGTAGACAGCCATTGCTGGAATAACTGGTCCATGGTCTATAAGGCATTCTAATAAATTAAAAAATCCACTTCATATATAACTATATATATATATATACATACACACACACACACACACTCTCTCACACAAACACACACACACACACACACACATATATATATATATATATATATATATATATATATATATATATATACTAAGAACCCTGACTGATAAAGGTACCATGATGCTAACTGTCGGCATGACAGAAGTTAGAGTCACCTGAGTAATGTACCTCTGGGCATGATTTTGGGGAGATGATTCCATTACTGAGTGGGGAGACCCGTCCACTGTAGGTGGCACCATTCCCTAGTCAGGGGATCTGGACTGTATAAGAGCTGAGAAACTGGTCCAGGGAGACGGCTCAGCTTGCCTCTAAGCCTGATGACCAGATTCCGGGAACCCACACACTGGAAGGAGCGAACTTACTCCCACAAATTGTCTTCTGCCCCCACACTTGTGCTGTGAGATGTATACATGTGTGTACACATAAACACACAACACAAATTAATAAAGTGCAGTCATTTCTTAAATGCAGCAAGAAGTGGAGCTGAACACTGGCAAGCCTGCCTTCATCACCCTGGTTCCTGACTGGCTGAGATGGCCAGCTGCCTCTAAACTCCTGTACCTTGACCTCCCAGGTACGATAAGCTGCACCCCTGGACTGTGGGCAAAAACCAACCCTTTCTCCCTCCAGCTGTTTCTTCCAGAGCATTTTACCAAAGCAACAGGAAAAGAAAAACCATGTGGATTTGGACCCATTTGCTCACGGCGTCCATTTCCTGGCAACATCTGGGGCAGCTGGAGGAAGGGAAGCATACCGGGCCTGTGCCACAGTCCCGAGCTGGTCACGGCTGTGGGGTGGGTGATAGCCACCTTCACACCAGGCACCTGGACCCCCTAACTGTCCTACTGTCATTTTGCCCTCTCTGTCCCTGGCCCTCTGAGACCTCTTAACTTGATACTCAGAAGTGGCGTCTGTCTCCAGGGAGGCCTAAGGAGACTTCCCGAAGGTTCCATGCAGCAAGAACTGGGCCATGCTTTGCATTCATAGCAGCAGCAGCACAAGCGAGAGCAGCGTGTCCCAAGGTTAGCGTCGCTGGGATCATGCACAGCCTATTTTTATTTTGCATCTCTGTATCTTAAAGAATTTCCTGGCATAGTTATAGATTAACCAGCAGACAGGAAATAAAACATTCCAAAGGATTGCTTTAAATAATGTTATCTGGGGCTGAGAACAGGGCTCACTGCACCTAGGGTGTTCAATCCCAGGGCAGAAAAACTATCCTGTAACAGCCACTTCTGCAACCTCGGTGAAATCAAGTTCATTTATTTCTCTTCAGCCTCTTGCTTTGCCTGGTCCATGCGTGATGTGGCTCCTGTTTCTTCTCCTTCTCCCTTCCACTTAGTGCCTGGTCTCAGTACAGACTGTGGGATGGCTCTAAGGCCAACCCACTGCCTCTGGCCATCAGAAAAGGCTGGAAGCCAGAGCCTTCTTGCCATCCTAAAGCCAACAGTCCGGGAGCAAAGCAGAGGTTGGAAAGGAGAGGTTGCGTATCTATCTATACGTGAGATATGACTAAACTGTATCAAAATGAAAGCATATTCACATTATGGACTCAAGGGATTTCCCAAACCCTTCCCAGACTGGCCTTCCCAGTCCACAGTTCCCATGAGGTAGTCCGGTTCATTCTCTTCACGCCGGATGATGGAACACGGAAATCCAGTGAGGCCTCCGGCCTCCGCTACACTCCCAAGAAGCCTGGCCCATGGCCCTGAGGGTGTGATAGCACAGGCAGCAGAACTGACAGTCCAGAACAAGCGAGGCCCCAGGCCGGGGCCCAACAGAGCGCTCTGCTGTCGGGAGCCCAGCTATTTCTGTCTTGCCCTAGTTAGGGGCTCCTTCCCAGTGCTGTTTCATAATCGCAGTTTGTTTGACATTTTGTGATATGACATCCATGGGACACTGCCGAAAATAACCTTGGGTTTTTTTTTTCCCCTGTGCTTTTGGAGTCTTCAGGACGAAGTAGGGTGAGGAGGCAGCAAGAGCCTTAGCAGTAGAGATCATGACGTCACCGCTGCCCACGTGTCCTGCAGGAGTTACTCCTGCTACTTGGAGCACAGAATAGGTTGGAAGAACGTCTCAACATTTTCCAGAAGGACAAGATCATACCTACACAAGTGAGGCCTGGGGAAAGCAAAAAGAGCCCTGTTAGCCCCCAGTCTAGGCAGGGAAGCCCCCTGATTCGGGGGGAGGGGGGGGGTTGCAGAGCCGTTGCTTCAAACCAACAGGCAAATGGATAGGGACGGAAGTCGCACACAAGAAAGCAGGGTGTGGAGTCTCATTTAACTCTACTCCACTCTTTCTTTTTAACATTTATTTTACAGCCCAGTGGTGGTGGTGGTGCATGCCTTTAATCTCAGGACTCAGGAGATGGAGGCAGGAGGATCTCTGTGAGTTCAAGGCCAGCTTAGCCTACGTAGTGAGTTCCAGGACAGCCAGAGCTGTTACACAGAGAAACCCTGCCTTGAAAAAAAAAAAAAGGATTTTATTTTATGTGTATGAGTGTTAGGCTTTCGTGCATGTTGTGTGCATGTTGTGGGCATGCTGTGTACCTGTGGAAGTCAGATGAGGGTATCAGATTCCCCTTTAACTACAGTTTCTAGATGGCTGTAAGGTACCGCAAGGGTGTTAGGAATCCAACCCAGGTCCTCTCTTCCACTCCCAGTCCTCCCACCTCTACTTTGCAAGTGCTGGGATTAGAAGCCACCACTCCCTGGTTCTTCCTTTTTTGCTTTTGAAACAGTGTCTGGACGAGTTTCCCAGTTTGTCTTGAACTCCTCAGTCCTTAAACTTTTGATCCCCTTGACACACAGTTTCCAGATTAGCTAGGAATATGGACCTACATTACCAGGCCCGGAAAAAAAAATTAATTAATCAATTAATTAAAAGGCCCTGTTGTAAGATAAAGTGAATACCTTATAAAGAATCTTTTATTGCTAAACATTTTCTTAGTACACTAAATTTTTGTTTGTTTGTTTGAAACAGGATTTCTCTGTGTAACAGTCATAGCTGTTCTAGAACTCACTTTGTAGACCACACTGGTCTTGAACTCACAGAGATTCGTCTCCCTCTGCCTACTGAGTGATGGGATTAAAGGTGTGTGCCACCACTGCCTGGCACAGTACCCTAATTTTTTTTTTTTTTGGTTTTTCAAGACAGGGTTTTGCTCTAGTTTTAGAGCCTGTCCTGGAAATAGCTCTTGTAGACCAGGCTGGCCTCGAACTCACAGAGATCTGCCTGACTCTGCCTCCTGAGTACTGAAATTAAAGGCATGTGCCACCACCGTCCAGCAAGTACCCTAAATTTTTAAGTAAAAGAAATTCACTATTTTGAAACCTAAGGCAGGAGAATTGCCACAGGTTTGAGGCCAGCCTGGGCTACATCATAAGACCCTGTCTCATAAAGAATGGAAGGAAGGGAGGGTGGGGGTAGGAGGAAGGACTAGAGAAGGAAGCTAGGTAGCAAGAACTGCCACGCCTGCCTGTGGCTCACCTGTCTGGATGCGCCAGCGACCTCAGCTTCACTCGCAGGACCCTGAGCTTGTACTTTGGACCTACTACAGACCCTGTGGAGAACAGCAAGGACATTTCTGCCACTTTCTCCAGATCTTGATTAAATCTTGCAAGCAGACTCACTTGATGGTACTTTTGAAAGGTCGATGGTTCACTGGAAGGAAGAAAAGGCATTTCAAAATGAACGTAGATTGCTAACGAGAGAAAGCTGCTTCCAGCCTCTGCGTCTACCCAGCAGGTGACCCTTCGGTCCCTCTGCCTGCACAAGCTGACTTCTGTGAGCGAAGGTCCCTGAGTCCATAGAACTGCCTAAATGAAGCTACTGACCTCCAAAATGACACTGGGAAAGTGTGCTACTCTGCCTGACTATTGTGGTCAAGACGATGTCGGAATCTCCAGCACATCCCCACAGCTGCTTGTGGAGTCCAGGCTCTCCATGTGACAGAGCTTGTATGCGGCCGTGTGGAGATGAAACCCAGCTCAGAGTTCTTCCAGCCCTGCCACACTCCATGAAGCCTTGGATGGGATTCCTGTGGAGCTAGGGTAATAAACACCTGTGTGATTCCCTAATCCCAATCTGAGACATATGTGTGGAGCCAGCCCATCGCCCCAAACCCAGGGTGCTTGTCAGTTATCTGTAGCTTGCTTTCCCAGCTTCCCAGAGGAATAAGAACAGTGCTGAACCTCCCCAGAAAGAGATGTCTGAGGACCAGGGATTTCCAATTATGATATATTGGATATTACCAACAAAATTGGGATCAGACATTAATTCTAACTCCATATTCTTTCACCTCTTAAAAAATGGAATGTAAAAGAAGCAGTAAAGATGTTAAGGCTCCAATTTTCTCTTCCTTCCCTCCCTCCCAGTACTGGAGATCAAACCCATTGGGCCATTCATGCAAGCTGTCTGCCACTGAACCTCCCAAGTCTGCTTTTGACGTCTGTCTTTCAGACGGGATTTTACGAAGGTGCCTGGCCTACCTTCAACTCGCTCCCTGGCTTAAGTGGTCCTTGAAATTGCAATCCTCCAGCCCAACTTTCCAGATACTACAGGTCTTAGCATGATGCCTGGCTAAGGTCACCTTCTTGTGTTTGTCTTTTCTCTTTCTTAAAGTTTAGCTCTTAATGGACACTTGTTTTCAGTTACATTTATAATTTATCTATCCATCTATTCTTCCATCTATTTATCTATCTACCCATCTATCACCTATCTATCATGTATCTAACTATCCATCTGTCATGTATGTATCCATCTAACCATCTATTATCTATCATCTAGCTAGCTAGCTAACCATCTATCCATCCATCTATCTGTCATGTATCTATCCATCTGTCTGTCTGTCTGCCTGCCTGCCTGCCTGTCTGTCAGTCTATCTCACCCTTTTTATCTCTGTGTCTGGTGCACACTTGCATGACGTAACATAGATCAGAGGACAATTTGTGGGGGAAGTTGGTTTTCTCTTTCCACCATGACAGGTCATCAGGCTTAGCAGCAATTGACTTTGCCCACTGAGCCAACTCACTGGGCCAAGGCCTTGATCTTAATTGAAATGTGAAGGCAAGAAGGTAAGGCCAGTTTGGACTACTTAGTGAGTTCAAAACCAGCTTGGGTTACATGAAGCCCTGTCCCAGAACAAACAAAAAGATATTTTAAAATTCAAATTTAGGGATTCATTCACACTTGATCAAGATTCCCTTAGTAAAAATCAAAGTTCTCAGGTGCATGTAAGGAAAACATGAAAGCATTGCTGGCATGAACATCTGGATCTAGTCAGAGCCCTGCCCTACCCGCTTTCTGTGTGCGACCACACAGAGTCTTCCAGACCCCTTAGGTGCTGTGTATTCTGAAAGTCAGTATTCTAGGTTAGATCTGTTCAGGTTCCCTCACATTAATCCACAGCCCATACACCTGGGGCTAGTCTTCCTCATGAAGACCTTCCTACTGTTGTCCTTCCAGGAAACACTAGCCCTCTGTGGACATGGGGATATCAGATATGAAACGAGTCAGTGGGGAACCCTGAAAAACACAACTACTCACAACCTTCCAGTGCAAGGAGGCGGGGGTGGGTAGCTCCGTGGGAGCAGTAGACTCCTTCATAGAGTGATGCAGGTACTTGGTGGACAGGCCTGCTGCCCCCGCCACACTACACTGACTAGGTGTGCAGCACTGACCCAACCACTCAGCTCCCTAGCCACAGTTTCTTCATACGTAGAGCACATGGTAGCAGCATGTCATAGGGTCTGGTCTAGAAATCGCTCAAGCAGTGTGTGCCACACCCTTCATCCAGTAACCGAAAGCGATCATTGTAAATGCAAGATGCATCTTTAAAGGCACTGCCCTAGTTTGCTTCCTGTTGCTGTAATAGAAATGACCGAAAACAGCTTGGGAAGGAGAGGATGTATTTAGCTTACACATATGCTCGCAGCCCATCACTGAGGGGACTCAAGGCAGGATCTTTGCATGGCAGGAACAGAGGCAGAAAGAAGCCATAGAGGAACACTGCTCACTGGCTTGCTCTCCGTGGCTTGCTCAGCCTGCTTTCTTTTACAACCCAGGACCACTCGCCCAAGAACTGTTTAATAAAATGTGGGTGGTTTGGTTGTTGTTGTTTTTTTTTTTTTTTCAAAAAAAAAAATAAGACGTTTTAAAAACAGAATCTGGGAGGCTGGAGAGATGGCTCAACAGTTAAGAGTACTGGCTGCTCTTCCAGAGGTCCTGAGTTCAATTTCCAGCAACCTTATAGAGGCTCACAACAGTATGTAATGAGATCTAGTGCCCTCTTCTGGCATGCAGGCATACATACATAATAAATAAATCTTTAAAACAAAAGAGAAACAGAATGTGTCAAGAACTCCTTAGCATAAACTTACATGTTTATGTTGTATATTCCTCTATGTTTTTAAATTCAGATGATTTTTTATTGCCAAGTCATAATTATATGCCTTTATGGCGTATGATTAAAGTTCTGAGTGATGGATACATACACACACAAACATACACTGTGAAATGCTTAAGTCTACACATTCCTTTTTTAGGGGTGCTGTAGTTATGTGTATGGGGCGTTTGCCTGCATGCCTGTCTGTGTGCATGCCTGACACCTCTGGAGGACAGGAGAGGGCATTGACTGCTCTGGACCTGGAGTTGTGGATGGTTATAAGCGGCTGCATGGATGCTGGGGACTGGGCCTCGGTCCTCTGCAATAGCAGCCAGTGTTGTTAACCTCTGAGCATCGTTCCAATGCCTATTTTGGGTTTTGAACCAGGTCTCACTGTATGATTCCAGCTGGTCTTACCGTCCCTGTGTAGCCTAGGCTAATCTCATGCTCACCACAGTCCTACTGACCCTGCCTCCCAAGTCACTGTGATTACAAGTGTGTTCCACCCGTGCAGCTAAATCAGCACTCTGACCAGAACTTCACGGCTTGAACTTTCGCAGAAGGCAAGAGTGGTTTTTAATTTTAAATATTTAATTGCTGAAAATAAAAAAGAGGAGGAAGAAAAGTGAAAACAAGTAAGAGAGATGAACAGGGAGGGCACGCAAAAGAGGAAAGAGGAGGGAGGGCGGGAAGAGGTAAAGAAGGGAGGGAGAAAGGGAAGAAAGCCACTGCACCTATTGCAACGGAAGAAAGCAAAGGTGAGGAAGAGACAGGGCCAGCCCGTGAGTGAGAGTCCCTGCTGCCTCTGGTAGCACGAAGGATGTTATAGGCGAGAACGTCTCAACAGCACGAAGGGTGTTATAGGCGAGAAGAACGTCTCAACAGCACGAAGGATGGTATAGGCTGCTAAGCAAGAAGAACATCTCAACTGGCAACTCAAGCTTGGCGCTTAACTTACTGATCAATCTTGGATTCTGTGGTATTTCCGTCTTCGCCTCTCAGTTTGATTGTAATGAACCCTCTTCTTATGTTCTTGTTCCAAGATATAATGTCCACGAAATAATGATACACTGTGAAACAGGGAGAGAACCCCATAAGAGAGGTACCCCAATGCTCCCCAGTAGGGTCAGGTCTAAAAAGCCAAGATCCCTTTCTTCTTCCTCTAGAGTTTCTCTGCAAAGACCCAGGGAGGAATTTTCTTTGCTCTTTAACGTCGTTTTTCAAGTCCAGGTCCCTCAAACTCATGGTGTAGGTGAGGACCACCTACAGGTGCGTGCCACCAGACCAAGCCACACGCAGCAGACTTTTCTACTTTTTCTTGTTCTTCTCTTTGGTACAGACAGCATGCGTGACAGCAGAGTTCAGTGCTCTCTAGGGATTGTGCCTCATAGGCTGGAGGGCTTGTTCAACTTGTGACTCATCCTAGAAGTTCATGCTAGAGGATCCTATAATCCAGTTATTAAAGAAAACCCCACAAAATAATCTGATGGTGTTGTAAGTGAAGTTACTCTCATTTTGCGTGGGGTTGCTCTGCAGTCAGTGCTTGAATTGCAGAGAATTTTAATGTTTTTCTGTGTTATTTCTCAGCAGGTCAGTACCACACTGGGCTAGCTTTGGGTTGTACTGTGTTTGGTTTTAGAAAATCACTGTCAGAGGTTGGCCAAGATGGCACACTGGAAAAGGTACTTGCTGCCAGTTCTGACAACCTGAATTTGATCAAGAATGGATTCCTGCAAGTTGTCCTCTAACCTCTACCCACATACCTTTCCGGGACATGCACACACACACACACACACACACACACACACACACACACACATCACTTTTAAAAAAAAAAAGAAGCAAGGACTAGAGTGATGGCCCAAAAGTTAAAAGCACTGTCTGCTTTTCCAAAGGACAGGGTTCAATCCCTAGCACCCACACGATAACTCACAAATGTCTCTAACTCCAGTTTCAAGGGATCTAGAACCCTCTTTTGGCATCTGCGGGCACACACATGCTACACAGACACACATTCAGGCAAAATACTCATCCACATAAAATAGATAAACAGATAAAATGTTTTTTTAAAAAACCATTAAAGGGGGCTGGAGAGATGGCTCAGCAGTTAAGAACATTGACTGCTCTTCCAGAGGTCCTGAGTTCAATTCCCAGCAACCACATGGTGGCTCACAACCATATGTAAGGAGACCTGGTGCCCTCTTCTGGCATGCAAGCATACATGGAAGGAATGTTGTATACATAATAAATAAAAAAATCTTAAAAAAAAAAACATTAAAGGAGTGCTGACTTGGGATAGGAGCAGAATTCCCCACAATTTCTGAAACACCTGCTGCCACTTTTCTGCATACTCACTCAAAGCAACATTCTCACTGATTATTACAAAATCAGAATGCAGACAAGCTCTGTGAGACAACAGCAGTGGCCTACATGAAGCAGCGGTAGATACTTAGCCAAGGGTTACCTCCTTGTGGAAAACGAGCAGGCTCGTCTAGCTCATCAGAATGCAACTTTGCTTTTGTCTTTAATAAATGATAATATAGATGTAATAATTATTTTAAAACAAACTTGTTTATGGTTTATTATCAGCAAATATTTCATTTCTGTATCAGTTTTATAGTTTTGGTTGTGAGCCTAGCCTTTAACAACTGAGCCACCTCTCTAGCCCTCTGGAGCAGTTTTATACACCTATATATCTGGGAATGTTTGAAATGTTCACAGGCTGACTCCCTGGGGACCCCAGGCCACTCCTGCTTGGGAGCAGGTAGGCTAACTGCAGATCTTCACCTTCGCCTCTATCCCTATGTGTCCAATCTCTCAGTCCCATCCTCAGCTCTGCTACAGGACAAGAAATGAAAGATCTGTTTGATAAAAACTTCAAGTCACTGGCAAGAGAAACTGAAGAAGATATCAGAAGATGGAGAGATCTCCCATGCTTGTGGATCGAGAGGACTTAGCAAAAATGACTATTCTACTAAAAATCATCTACAGATTCAATGAAATCCCCATCAAAAGTCCAACACAATTCTTTACAGACCTTGAAAGAACAATTCTCAGTTTTGTATGGAAACACAAAAATTCCGGATAGGAGCTGGTCGGGGTGGTACACACCTTTAATGCCAGCATCTGGGCAGGCAGAGGCAGCAGATTTCTGAGTTCAAGGCTAACCTGGACCACATAGAGGGTTTTGGGATAGCCAGGGCTGTATAGAAAAACCTGTCACAAAAAACAAACAAGCAAAAACAGGACAGCTAGAATCCGAATAATAAAGAACTGCTGGAGGTGTCACTGTCCCTAACTTCAAGCTGTATCGCAAAGCTATACTAACAAAAACAGCATGGTATTGGCACAAAAACAGACAGGATTGTCAATGGAATTGAATTGAAGACCCAGACAAAATTTACACACCAATGAACACCTGATTTTTGATAAAGAGACTAGAAATACACACTGGAAAAATGACAGCATCTTCAACCAATATGCTGGTCAAACTGGATGGTTTCATGTACAAGAATCCAAATAGATTCAAACTTATCATCTGCTCAAAACTCAACTCCAAATGGATCAAAGACCAACATAAAACCAGATACATTGAAACTGATAGAAGAGAAGAAGGGGGTATCCTTGAACACATTGACTCAGGAATAGACTTTGTGAACAGAACACCGATCGGGTAGGCACTAAGAATAACAATTAGTAAGGAGCCTCATGGAAGTGAAAAGCTTCTGTAGGCAAAGGACACCGACATTTGGACAAAGTGGTAGACTACAGAATGGGAATAGATTTTTACCAACTTCCTATCTGATAGAGGGCTAATATCCAAAATATATAAATAATTCAAGAAACTAGACATCAAGAAAAAATAACCCAATTAAAAATGGGGTAAAGATCTAAATAGAAAATTCTCAATAGGAAAACCTGGAATGGCAAAAAAAAAAAAAACTCTCTTAAAAATATTCAACATCCTTAGTCATCAGAGAAATATAAATCAAAACGACTCTTGAGATTCCATCTCACCCTGGTCAAAATGGCCAAGATCGACAAAACAGGTAACAGTTCATGCTGGAGAGGATGTGGAGTAAGAACACCCTCCATTGTTGGTAGGAATGCAGTTATACAGGTGCTGCGGAACTCAGTATGGTGGTTCCTCAGAAAGATGGGAACTGATCTACCTCAAGATCCAGCTGTATCACTCAAGCATATATCCAAAAATGCTTCATCCTACCACAGAGACACTTGCTCAGCCATGTTCATTGCTGCTATATTCATAATAACCAGAAATTGGAAACCACCTGGATGTCCTCAACAGAAGAATGGATGAAGAAAATGTGGTACATTTTGCACAGTGGAGTACTACTCGGCTGTTAAAACAAAATGGCATCATGAAATTTGCAAGCAAACGGCTGGAGCTAGAAGAACCTCATCCTGAGGGAGATAGATATTCCAGACCTGGAAAGACAAATATGGTATGTACTCACTTATATGTGGATATTAGCTCTTAAATCAATGACAACCAAACTATAATCCATAGAACCACAGAAGGCACACAGAGTAAGGGATGAGAAGGAACAGATAAATCTCATCACGAAAAGCAAATACAATAGGTAAATCTGAATGGGGAGGGCTGGTATGGGAGGCTCGAGTGGGGAAGGGGAGTGGAGAGGGGCTTGTGGAAGGAATACAACGAGAGACAGGTAAAATAAATTAAAATATTGTTTAAAATAATAAGAAATGTTCCCAGGCCAAGGATCTGTGAGAGGCAGGTTTCAGAAGTTCCAGTGTGGAACAGAACTCATTCAAGTACAGCATTCACCTGTTTATTCCTGACCCCAGCTTCATGCCTCTTTGACAGTGACTGTCCCCTGGGTGCTGGTACTGTGACTCAGACTCACTTCGGTCCTAAGAACCCAGAAGATTGGCATGATGGGCTGGTTCCATTTACCAAACTGGCCCGAGACACTCACAGAGGAGGTCACACAACTGCTCCGGACAGAAGCTGTGCTGGTCTTGTGCCCTTTCAGCTCCAAACACCAAGCTCTATCTACCGGAAGCATCTAGAAAGCTGAGACTCTGTCCTCCCTCAGAATGCCATGGTCAGACAGAACCACCAACACACGTTCACCACTCACTGCAGAACGGTTTTTCCTCAGCCGTGTCGAAAAATGCCTTCATCATCGGAGGGTCTTTGTCCAGCAAGTGGTCTTTCCAACTGTCAGCATGGTAGCCTATGAAACAAGTCAGAACCACCAGCGTGTGTTACATAAACATGAAAGTCACAAAGGACATGAGGACAGTTTACAACTCTCTCCTGCTTCATCTCCGGCCCCTAATGTGAGGACAAGAGAGGCCACCGGGAACATCCTGTCAGTGCTCTTACATCTTGCTGGCTGTCCCCGTCTTAAGAACTGAAGGGAAGAAGGACCCTACCGTGACCGCTCCCTTGAATTGGCCCTCAGTAACTCAGCAGGGAGTGTAAGTGACACACGCTGGACACACAGAGAGTTTTCAGCTATGCATTCAAGGTTAAGCCAGATGGAGAGACAGCATCCCTAATCACACGTGCAAAGCAATGGGGTCTTGTTTGCTTCATTCTGAAGATAGGACTCAAGGCCTCACAATGCAAACTATTTACTCTTTACCCCAAGTAATACACATAGTTCTCTCTCTGTCTCTCTCTGCCTCCTACTCTCTGTCTCTGTCTATCTCACTCTGTCTTTTGCTCTCTGTCTCTCTCTGTCTCCCCCCTCCCCCGCTCTGCCAGATGAATGTCTCCCTGCAGGTCAATGCATAATGAAGCCTCTTTCTGTCAGGAGAAATCTTCTTAGCCAACCTCTAACTCTGGAAAGTGTCTCTGTGGTCTCTACAGTGTCTTTTCCCCACCAGATCCCTGCATGTGGACACAGGAGTCAGAGTGTAGAGAGAAAGTCTTTATAGACATCACCTGTTGAAAGGGATCATTCTGCAAGGCTCAGTCCTGGGCTGGGTCCCTAGCTCAGCGTGGACCTCCCCCAGCAGAAAGGCATGTGCACCGTGGGTGTTTTGTCCAAGCAGGGACAGGCTAGGCAAAGCCTGGGGAGGCTTGCAATCCTGCTAGTATCTTCTTTTCCATGACAGAATATTAAGTCTAGGAGGGCTGCAATAACCTCAATGTGGAATCCATTGTAGCTTGTTCTTAGGACTCTGGGTACACGCTAGTTGTTGTTTGTTTTGGCTCTGGTGTGTGTGTGTGTGTGTGTGTGTGTGTGTGTGTGTGTGTGTGATGTCAATGCTGTTTTTGAAAAAGGGGATCTTGGGGCTGGAGAGATGGCTCAGAAGTTAAAAGCATTGACCAGTCTTCCAGAGGTGATGAGTTCAACTCCCAGCAAACACGTGGTGGTTCACAACCATCTATAATGAGATCTGGTGCCCTCTTCTGGAGTTCAGGCAAACATGTAGACAGAACACTATATAATAAATAAAAATAATCTTTTTTTTTTTTTTGATTTTTCGAGACAGGGTTTCTCCGTAGCTTTTGGTTCCTGTCCTGGAACTAGCTCTTGTAGACCAGGCTGGCCTCGAACTCACAGAGATCCGCCTGCCTCTGCCTCCCGAGTGCTGGGATTAAAGGCGTGCGCCACCACCGCCCGGCAAATAAAAATAATCTTAAAAAAAAGAGGGTCTCTATGTAGCCCAGACTAGCTCAAACTCGCAGTCCTCCCTGTTGAGCAGTCATGCTCTAACCTAACATGTTTTAAAGATTTATTTATTTATTATGTATTCAGGGGAAGAGGGCACCAGATCTCATTACAAATGGTTGTGAGCCACCATGTGGTTGCTGGGAATTGAACTCAGGACCTCTGGAAGAACAGTCAGTGCTCTTAACCTCTGAGCCATCTCTCCAGCCCCCTAACACTCTTTATAATTCAAGACTAGAGTAGTTTAGAGAACAAATTGACCAGGAAAAGTTGGTTATAATGTTTAGCATGGTAGTACACTCTTGTAATACTTGCTACTCTGGAGGGTGTAGCAAGAAGGTCTCAAGTTCAAGACCAGCCTAGGCTACAGAGTAAGTGCAAACCAGCCTAAGTTATACAGGCCTTATCTCAAATACTAAATAAAGCTGACTCTATAAAACTTTAGGAAATACAAACTGAGATGAATTTTTAGAGAGTAAAATGACTAAGATCTGCACAAAAATGAACTGTCCGTGAGAGATGGGAACTTGTTGGCCTTACCCAGGAGGGGACAGGACACCATTTGCCCAATGCCACAGTTGACACACTTGCCGTTCCTGTAATCCCGATAGGAGTCGCAGGGGTAGGCGTTGATGGAACAGTTATTTTGCAGGGATGCGATGTACAGGAACACGGACATCTGATGGTCACACTTGAAGTACTTCATGCCTTGATGGTAAAGGAACCAAGAGCAGCTGCATGCAGCGTTTACGGGATGCGCATTTCTCATTTTACACAAGCACCGCCCACCACACCCGATCCCAGCTCCTGAGCGCCAGGCCCTGCGCAGAAAGCGCCCATGTGCTCAGGTCCACTTAATCCTTATGAGAACCACAGACAGGGACTCACGGCGACCAGTAGCAAGGTGGAGAGCAAAATTCTTTAGGGTTGTTGTAAAAACAAAGGCAAACCTCGAGTGGGGGGTGGGGGAGGTGGGGAGAACGCTCACTGCTTAAGGGTGCTTGTTGCTTCTTCCAGAGGACCCCAGTTCGTCCAGCACCCATGTTGGCAGCTCACAACTGCCTGTAACTCCTGCTCCAAGGGATCCAATGCCCTTTTCTGGCCTCCATAGGCAATCATGCTGTCATGCACCACACACACACACACTCTAGGTGGCGGAGGGAAACAGCACTGACTGGTACGATGCTTGTTTAGTTTCTATGTACGAGGCTCTAAACCCGACCTCAGGGAGGCTATAGAGATGGCTCAACACATGAGCTTGGATCTCCAGTACCCATGTCAAACCCAAGCAGAGCAGCATGGGTCTGTAACCTTAGCACTAGCTATGGGGAGACAAGTGGCTTCCAGGTTTTTGCTGACCAGCCAGGATAGCTTACAGAGGAAATCCCATGTTTAGTGAGAGTCTCTGTCTCAAAAAGACAAAATGGAGAGCAGCCAATGAGAACACCCTCTGGTCTCTACACACATGGGCACATGCACACACACACACACACACACCACACTACACCACACACATCATACACCACACACATCATACACTACACACACATCATACACCACACACATCATACACCACACACATCATACACCACACACACATCATACACCACACACACATCATACACCACACACATCATACACCACACATACATCATACACCACACACATCATACACTACACACACACCACACACACATCACACACCACACATACACCACACCACACACAAAGAGGAGGAGAGAGCAATGACAATAAGCAATTACAGAAACAAGGTAAACAGACCCAGAGAGGCTGGGTAATAAGGATGGCCCGAGTGGGGGAACACATGGCTTTCCCGGGGAAAGAGAAACAGAAGAGATCTTGTGGGTGGGGTGGAGGGGGTAGTGGATGGGGGTGGGTATGGAAACATGAGGGATCAGTTTGGGATGGGTGGAGGAGGAAAGTACTAAATGAAATGACTTGAAAGGGGCATTTTGGGGTTAGGTAGAAGCCTGGTGCAAGGGAACCCCCCAGGAATCTACAAGGATGACCCCAGCTAAGACTCCCGGCAATAGCAGATATGCAGCCTGAACTGGCCAGATCCTGTAACCAGGCAAGACTACCAGTGGAGGGACTGGGACACCACCCCAGCCACACAACCTTCCACCTACAGTCTGTCCTGTCTATGGGATGTGCTGGGGTATGTGGGAGTGGCCCAGAGATTGTGGGAGTGGCCCAGCCTGAGATGCACGCCATGAGGGTCAGCCTGCCCCTGACACTGTCTGGAGGGCCAGCACCCAAAGGCTGTATGACACAGAGACCTAGAACAGAACCAAACACAACTGGAGGGGGAAGTGGCAATGTAATCATGCCTAATGATATTCTGCTATACTCATAGATTGTTGACGGCCCGATTGTCATCAGAGAGCCTTCATCCAGTAACTGATGGAAACACATGCAGAGACCCACAGCAAAATATTAAGCCAGGTTGGGGGAATCCTGCTGAAGAGAGGGAGGAAGGATTGTAGGAGCCAGAGGGGTCAAGGGCATAACAAGAAAACCCACAGAAACAAGTAATCTGGCTTCATAGGAGCTCATAGAGTCTGAACCAAGCCTACATGGGACCAACCTAGGCCCTCTACATATATGTGACAGTGTGTAGCTTGGTCTATTTGTGGGAATCCCAACAGTGGGAGCAAGGGCTGTCCCTAACATTTTGGCTGGCTTTTGGGAACCTATCCCTCATACTGGGTTGCCTTGCCCAGCCTTAATATAAGGGGAGGTGCTTAATCGTCCTGCAATTTGATATGCCATGCTTTGCTGATACTCACGGGAGGACTTCCCCTTTCTGAACAGAAACAGAGGAGGACTGGATCGGGGTAGGTAGAGAATGGGAGAAAAGGAGGGAGGGGAAACTGCAGTTGGGATGTGAAATAAATTTAATTAAAATAAAAACAAACCAATGTAATCAGCTCCTAGACCTTATCTTAAAAACAAGCTGGATGGCTCCCGAGAAACGGTATCTGATGAGGATCTCTGGCCTGCAGATCCACACACCCAGAAAGTGAAAAACGAAGAAGAAAAAACATCAGGAAAATAGGGCCCTGGGGAATGACTCCATGGAGGGAAGTGAGGTGGGGGTGCAGCTTTGAAAGAGAGGGCTGGGGAGGCCAGCAGAGAGGGTGAAAGGAAATACTGATCCTGTGGACAAGGTGGGGATAACCAAGATGGCTCTCTAATGGTGCAGTGGTTTGGAAGAGAATGGCCCCATCAGCTCATCTCTTTGAAGGCTTAGTCACCAGGGAGTGGCACTGTGAGCATTGGAAGGACTAAAAGGTGTGGCCTCTATGAACCCTAGAATGAAACTCATGTCTAAGCCTGTTCTAAACATTGCCATCTCCACCAGCCAAACTGTTCTCAAGTTTCATGCTCACTCTAAAAACAAGTCATCTGTTGGCCAGTACACCCCAGGACCACAAATGTTTTTGAGAATTCACGGGGACAGATCAAAAGGACATGCAGACTAAGCCAACTCCTAATCCTGATAGGAGGTTGGCTGTCTCATTCGCTCGCTCAACAAATACTCAGAGGCATGTGTTCTCTAACCCTGTGGTAGGGGCTGAGGATGTGCCAGAGATCAGAAAAGAACAGCTTTAAAAAAAAAAAAGAGGTGTGGCCTTGTTGGAGGAAGTGCGTCACTGAGGGGTGGGCTTTGAGGCTTCAAAAGCCCACGCCAAGCCCAGAGTCTCTCTCTCTCTCTCTCTCTGCCTATGGCTCAGGATATAGCTCTCAGCTCCGTCTCCAGTACCATGCATAGTTGCTGCCATGCTCCCTGCCATGAAGATAATGGACTATGCCTCTGAAATGGTAAGCAAGCCCCAGTGACATGCTTCCTTTTAAAAGACTTGCCTTAGTCATGGTGTCTTTTCACAGCAATAGCTCAGTGACTGACAGGAGCATGTGGAAGTTAAGTCTAGCTCATCAGTGCATAGATGTAGGAGGGATGCCCCTACAGAGTCAACAAAGATAACAATGGCAGCAAGGACTGGCGAGAAGGTACCAGGCATTCCTGGCCTCAACATGCTTCCAGACAGCAATGGGACCACTATGACAGAAACCTAAGGGTCTAGGGGCTCAAGAGGCCTTCATGCTAGCTCCCTGGTGGCTGGGTTCTGTTTCTACGGCTGAGAGGGACTGAACAACAGGTGATGGCAGGGAGAGGCGGAGGCAGGACTCTTTCTCAGTGGGTGTCACGAGGTGTTATGGTGCAGCTGGAGGCTGGTGATGCAAAGATGAGTAACAGAAGACCTGGAGGTGATGGGGAGCTGCCGGTGTGATTCCAAAAAGAACTGAGCCCCAAGGTGGGTAATAAATATGGTTAGGTCTAAATAGGAAGCAGTAAACCAAGGAAAAAGGCACTGTGGTTGTGAGCAATGGCTTGGGGGTGGGGTACCGAGTGCTGCAATGACACCAAGGTTTCTGTTTTCAATGCTCAGTTCAGCCCCCAAGGTAGACAGCAAAGGACAAACGAGAGGAAGATTCATGAGGCGCCTGAGTCAAACTGGACTGAGCTTTCTGCTTCCCTGCTCTGTAGGACTTCCTCTAGCAGAGCCTGTGGTGTCAGTAACGATGCAGGGGATCCATATGGTCACTCTGTCGCACAGGACAGGATCTGGGTTAAGCCCACTCACATCATCTCAGCTATTCCAATGTGGCCCTATACCAATGTCATTCTGTACAGATCATCTTTAGCTCTTTCCAAACGCGTGAGTGTAGCATGTTAGTGTATCTGCACGTGGAGGTGTGCAAATACCAATGTGTGCAGGCACCAGGTGGCCAGAGGAGGGCAGCAGAGGTCCTGTTCTAGCTTTCTTCACATATTCCTTTGAGAATGCCCTAGGTTGGCATCCGGAAAGTCTCAGTGTTCCTCCTGCCTCTGCCTTGCACAGTTTTTCGTGTGGGTGTTGGCATCCGAGCTCAGGCCTTTGTGCTTGGCAGGAAGCACGCTTGCCCTCTGAGCCAGCTCTCAAGTCCCCAGAGCATCCTTTTCAAAATGATTTTCCTTTCTCTAGCAGCAGTGAGGAATAAGTCAGAGCACTTAGGGAGGACTGGATTCCAACTCTGCCCCTCATCTCACCTCTCGGCTGCCCTCCACCTTCCTGATTTGTGCTTTGTGATACATATTTCTGCCACCTCTATTCCTTCAGGCAGTTTGTTTTCTATTTGCAATGCCCATTGATATCAGGTAATTTATTGTGGTTTTTTTTTTTTTGTTGTTGTTGTTATTTTGAGACAGGGCCTCATGGCTGTGCTTGAACACTTCTGATCCTCCTGTCTCCACCTAGTGCTGGTGTCATAGGTATGTATCATCACACCTGTTAGCATCAGATTTTTTTTTTTTTTTTTTTTTTTTGGTTTTTCGAGACAGGGTTTCTCTGTAGCTTTGGTGCCCATCCCGGAACTAGTTCTTGTAGACCAGGCTGGCCTCGAACTCCCAGAGATTCGCCTGCCTCTGCCTCCCGAGTGCTGGGATTAAAGGCGTGCGCCACCACCGCCCGGCCAGCATCAGATATTTTAATATGCCTTTCCAAACTACTGTCTTGCAAGGGATAACATATGACACTCACCTCCAAATATTGTCTTTGGGCAACCCGGTTGATCCAGTCCTCCATTGGGGTAGAAGTCTATGTTTCCTAGTGGTTCCTTGTAACCCAGCGCTAAAAGAGAACACAGAAGGGTTGCACGGGGACCTTGCACATCCTGACACTCTGCAGGGTTAGGCAGGGACTGTGTTGTGGTGGCTGCTATCATGGCCCTTATACCTATTTAAAGGTCTTGGCCGAAGCTGTCCGCTGGTGTGTTCGAAAGCAGCAAGCAAATTGCATCAGCATATAGGTCAGTGCTGGCTGAGCACAAAAATAGTGGTGGAATGGAATCCCACTGTTTCTAAAGACAGGCTCTGGGCTCTTGGCCCCTGCAGGGCTGACCAAATGACCTGTTTCTTCTTTACCTTTCGTCAGAGCAATCTAATTGCCAGGAGATTCCTGAACTTCAGTGTGCATTGTGTAAATCTTCACAAAATGAAACATGAAACAGTTTTTACTTAGTAGATTAAAATCTTAAAATTTTTTGGACCTGATCTAGAGAGACGGCTCAGTGGTTAAGAGTGGCTGCTACCCCAGAGGTGCTGGGCTGGGTTCCCAACACCCACATGGTGGCTCACAGCCGCCTCCAACGGTTGCAACTGTAGCTCCAGTCTCAGAAGATCCAAGACCTTCTTCTGGCCTCTTTGTGCACCAGGCACACACATAGTGCACAGACATACATGCAGTCAAAACACCCATTTGCATAGAAAAAAAGAATAAAAATAAAAGCTTTGGGCCTAAGCCAGGTGCAGTAGCTCACTCTTACAATACGAGCACTTAGGAGGCTTAGGCAGGGGCATTTGCTATGAGCTTCAAAACAGCTTAGGTTAAAGAGTGAGACCCTGCTTCAAACAAACAGACTGGGATCTAGGACAAAAAAAAAAAAAGGTAGGAAACATTTTTAAAAATGGGTACTTAGAAATGTAGTAACTTTTCTTTCTTTCTTTCTTTCTTTCTTTCTTTCTTTCTTTCTGTTTTTCAAGACAGGGTTTCTGTAGCTTTTGAAGCCTGTCCTGGAACTAGCTCTTGTAGACCAGGCTGGTCTCGAACTCACAGAGATCTGCCTGCCTCTGTCTCCTGAGCTCTGGGATTAAAGGCATGCGCCATCACCGCCCAACAACTTTATTTTCTCTAACCATATAAACCCCAAAGTAATTGGAAAATGTTTTATTAAAAAGTTAACACAGAATGCGGTGTGGGGGCTCACACAATCCAGCAAGCAGGAGGCTGAGACAAAAAGGTTGACAGTTTAGAACCAGCCTCAGCTGCACAGCGGCAGGCCAGCCAGGGATACAGAGCAGGAGTCTCCGAAAAAAACAAAAGTAAATGTTTAGACATGCATCTGCAAATGCACACGTTATGTGCAGCACACTGCAGGAATCGTGAAAAGAGTTTTTACAGTTTGAGACTCCAGGCATCAGCCGGGCATCTCACACACGCTTCCCATTTTAACAACGTCTGCAGCACAGCTCTGGGGAGATTGGAGCAAGCAACTTCGATGAAGGGTGGAGGCTGGCAGGCTTTGGGGTTGGCTCACTATCACTAGGAAAAGCAAAACTTAGGGTCTGCCTCACTGAAAAACAAAACTCACTTTTGAGAATAAAAAGCAAGCTGGAGAGAGGTGGCGCACACCTTTAATACCACACTCAGGATGCAGAGACAGAATGCGGATCTCTGTAAGTTCGAGGCCAGCCTGGCCTAAGACAGTCAGAGCTACACAGAGAAACCCTGTCTCAAAAAAGAAAGGAGGGAAAAAAGGAAGGAAGGAAGGAAGGAAGGAAAAAGAAAAAAGATTAAAAAGCAAATTGTTTTCTTCTGTCCATCTTAAAATGGCGCTGAAAGGCTCCAACTAAGCAAGGACTACTTTGCAAAAGCCACAATGATAATGGACCTGTCCACAAGAAGATATTTCCTCCAAGATAAAGTCACTGATTGTCACACAGAAGTGCCCATGGTCCAGGGTCGGGGTAATTTTAAAAAGCAAAAACTTCGTTCTGTCGTGTCTGTGTGTGTTTGCTGCGCATGTGCCAGCATGAATCTGGAGGCTGGAGGACCACCTTTGGGAATGAGGTCTCTCCCTGGCACCAGATGGGTTCCAGTGATCACACTCAGGTCATCAGGCTAGGTGGCAGCAAACACCCTTAGCGACTGAGCATCTCACAGGCCCTTTGCTGGTTTGTTGGCCTTTGTTCCTGGTGCTGGAGCACACACCACAAACACTACCACTGAGCTACATGCTGTGCCCTAGGTTCACGGCTCCTTAGCTAGTTGTATCACAAAGAGGACGTACAATTAAATGAGCACTCTGCTTTGTTCCATCCCTCCTCCCCAAGTTCCCAGTTGGCTCCTCCCAGAAACATTTGGATATAGTGGATATCTACCCCTTCTTATTTTTTTTAGCCACAGTCTTGATATGTAACAGCCCTTGGCACCCAACCATGAGTGTCACCCCAAGCCACACCAGCATGTACCGAATAGCAGATAAGAAACTGGCAGTTGAGAGACAGAAATGACCTGGCCGATCTACAAAGAGTGAGGAGTAGGGTCAAAAGTGCTCTTGGTGGGGAGACACTGCGCTCTCAACACAGGGAAATAAGAGAAAAGAGTCAGGCACCCTGAAAACTGTTCATCTGAGGCCAGCGGTCTATGTATAGACAAGCCAGCCCGTGCTTGATTGGATTCGATGATCACTTGGAAAACAAGAGGTGAGAGAAAGAGAAATCATGTCTGCTCCATCATTAGGTCCTGGGCCTAGCTCCCCCTCCGTGCTGTTGGACCACACCCCCCACACTACCCACATGAGGGGAAAAGATAGCATCAGAAGATCCGTGGGGGAGACCGTGCGTCTTGGGGTCACTAATTCTCAAAGGAGCGTTACCGTCAGTGTCGGAGTGGATGACGTCCACAAACTGTGCGTCGCTGGGATCTAATCTGTCCTCAGGGGGTTTCCCGTTGTACAAAGGGCCTGCAGGGTCAAGACCTAGGAGAAAAAGCAGAGAAGGTTGGCAGCCCCACGCCATGAATCACTGAAGCCGTCTTTGATCCCTCCTGGAGAGGATGGCTCAGGGCTGCAGGGCGCGCTTGGGTGAGTAATTGTTAGCATCCCATCCCGAAGCCAGGACTCCGGTCCAGAGGGCTTTCTTCCACAGTGTGGATGGTTATCCTGGCAGTGGCTCTGAGAACAGCAGTCAGGGTGCATGGGGTGGCCCAGCGGGGGAAGGGCCCCACAGGTGAGGTCAGAAGGGTAAAGAAGCTCCACGGGTAGCTCTGGGATCTAAACCCTTGTGCGTGAAGCTACACCCATCTGCATCCCCAGTCCTTGACTTTAAGACAAAGTTCCATCATAGAGACCAGACCATCTTGAATTAGCTATGCAGCTGACCTCCAGCTGGATATCCATCTGCCCCAGTTTCCTGTGTGCTATTAAATGAAAGGCATCAATTAAATCAAATTAAAACATTAAATTAAATTAAAGGCACCCATAACCTCTCTGATCTTCCCTACTTTAAGGATTTTAGGAATTTCAGAAACCCTCCTCAGCTCGACCTTCATTCGTTTACTAACTCATTTGAACCACATCACAGAACCAGGAGGGAGCAGTGGACCAGCATGATTCCATTCTACAGCTCCCGAGACCCAGACGACTCAAGCATCCGGGCCAGACACTGGCTCTGAAGTACATGCCCCTCCATCTGCTGTGCTCAGGGTCTCTCGGCACCTAGCAAAGCCAAGGCAGCTGTGAAACTCCCCCGAAACCTGGGTTTGGAAGCTCCTGTTGTCACACTACAGACCAGGCTGACCAAATGCATCCCATAATACCTGATCTGTTTTCTTCATCTTGGTCAGTGTTAACTGGATTTTGTTACCACAGCAATGAAACCCCCGGGAAGTCAGGGGAGCCACACTTGGGATTCTAGACCACACAGTGAGAACTTACAAAACAGCGAAGTGTGGCAAAGGCCCCTCTTATTAGACCCCTGGACAAAGACCGTTTTAAAGGCATCTTCCTTAGGAGTTTAACCTATTTAGGTTTAAATTCACTTTATTCTGGTTCTGGGTACTGGAGAATGAAGCCAAGACCTCATGCATGCTAAGCAAGCGTGCAGCCACACAACTAGTCCCCGTGGGTGTCCCTTCAAGGACACCTCCCCTTCCTGTGTTCCACACACAATCTAAGAGGCAGGATCCTTGCTTCTGTTAGCTGTTTTCTTCTCTCCCAATGTCCTTGGGATCCCTAGAAACGTTTCTTCATCTACCTCCCTCCTTTCCTTACTACTCCACCCCCAGCCTCCTGCTTCGGTCCTCTCCAACTGAAACTGGTGTGGGAGGGTGTGAGGTAACACCCAGTCACTCAAGGCCAACAGGTGGCCTCTGCACAGCAGGTCTTCATACAGCTGGACAAAACTCCACAGCCTTGGGAAGAATTTAGCCAGAAATCCCCCCACCCCCATCAGTCAACACCAACCACTTCCTGCCCCCAAAATAGAGCGAGTACCCTGGCTTGGAGCCTCCTGTAGACTTGGATAAAACATTTAGCTTGGGGTATTGAGAGGAGTGGGTGTGCAAGCCACACCCCAGGACTTATAAAATGGAAGTAAAATTATGGTCCAGAACCTGAACCTATATCTGTAATTAAAACTGTTTAGCAGTCACCTAAAATGTGTGTGTTGCATGTATGAGTATATATTAGCAAGTGTGTGTGTGCCCATGTGTCTGTGTCTGTCTGTGTGTCTATGTCTGTGTCTGTATGCATATGGAGTCCAGAGGTTGTCATTGGTTGTCTTCCTCCATTCCCCCCTCCATCTTATATATTAAAGTAGGGTCTCCCACTTGAACCCTGTCTAGTCCAGCTTGCTAACTTGCTCCTTCCTCTGTCATCCCAATGCTGGCATTTATGTCGGTGCTGGGGATCCAAACTCTGGCTCTCATACTTGCTTGGCATGTGCTTTTATCTGCTGAGCCATCTCCCAAACTAAAATGCTTGGAAAACAAATGGGGACTTGATTTTAAGAATATGAAGGGGGCTGGAGCAATGGCTCAGCAGTTAAGAGCGCTGGCTGCTCGTCCAGAGGACACAGGTTCAATTCCCAGCAACCGCAAGATGGCTCACAACCATCTATAATAGGATCTGGTGCCCTCTTCTGGCATGAAGGGCACTTGTGTTCGTGTGTGTGTGTGTGAGAGAGAGACAGAGACAGAGACAGAGACAGACAGACAGACAGAGAGACAGAGAGAACTATAGGACTGGAGAGATACCTCAGCAGAATGTTTCTCTTCTAAAGGGCCCAAGTTTAGTTCCCAGCACACAACCAGGAGATCTGATGCCCTCTTCTGGCCAGTGTAGACATGGTATTGGCATACACACACACACACAAAATTTAAAACTAAATTTATTTATTTATTTATTTATTTATTGCAAAAAAAAAGCATAAGGCTGGGGAATATAGCTCAGATCCTAGAGTACTTATCTTACATGTAGTGATGCCATGGGCTCAATGCCCAGCATACAAAATATTAAATTAAAAAATTTAAATTTCAGCTGGATGTGGTGGTGTATGCCTTTAATCCCAAACTTGTGAGGAAGAGGCAGGTGTATCTGAGTTCAAGGCTAGCTTGGTCTACAGAGTGGGTTCCAGGATAGCAGGGCTACACAGAGAAACCCTGTCCTGTAAAAACCAAAAGAGAATAAAAAATTAAATTTTAAGCCAGATGTGGGAGAACTTAAGAAGCTAAGACAGGAATATCTCAGACTCTAGGCCAGCTTGCGGGGGGATGAGTGAGTTCAAAACTAGTCTGGATACTGTGATGCCCAGGGCAACCTGGCCACACATAATGGGGCCCAGGCCACACAGCTAGCTGCCACGGGAGGCAGCACCAGGCTCCAGGAAAAGCCATAAGCTGACACCACCCAGGGAGGGGCATCGAAAGGGAAGTACCGGACACCCCAAACATTAGATAAGATTACATGAGACCACAAGATGTTCCTGAGCTCAGGACTCACCTCTTCTCCTTTTGCCCAAACTCCTAGACAAATGTCAGCCATTCAGGGTCCTGAACCCTGGAAATCCCCTCACCCAACCTCTACTATGGTAAAAACCCTACCCTGACTGTGCTTGTGACTCTCAGCCGCTGTGTCGGACAGATGGGGAGTCCAAGCTTAAGCTTGAAGAAAGGCTCTTGGCTTTGACATACAGGACTCGGTCTTCTAGTGGGTTTCTGGGGGACTCCATGATCTGTGCATAGCAGGTACAGAGGCACTACCTCTCTCAAAAAGACAAAAATGTTGATGACTCAGGGGGTAAAGGCTCATGCCACCAAGCCTAATAGCCCGAGTTCAACCCCAGGACCTATGCAATGTGGAGACCTGACTTTGTGAGCTGTTCTCTGGCTTTTACAAGCATGCTGTGCCACACATACGCACCCGCACACATATACACACAAACAAAATATATAGAAAATAAAAATAAAACTCTTATGTTTACAATTAAAACTGGTTAACATCTTAATTAAATATTAAATATAATATTAAATGTTTAATTATTTTAACTATAAAAGAGAAAATATTATTTAAAAGTTTAAAATAATAGACAAAACAAAACCAGCCAGGTCTGGTATATCAATCACACTTGTAACCCCAGCACTTAGGAGATTGAGGCAGGAGAATTGCCATGGACTTACGGCCAGTCTGAGCCTAGTTTAAGTTTCTAGACCTGGGCTGCAGAGAGATATCCTGTCGCAGAGGAACAAAAACAAACAAAAGAGAAACCAAAACAAAAAGCACCCAGTGTATCTAAAGACTGGCATGTCAACGTAACCAATATTAAATGTGAGATTTGCTTTCTGTTTTGTTTTTGTTTTTTTCTGAACCTTAGTCTTCAAAAGCCAGTGCATATTCTGCACCTACAGCCCATCTCAGTTTGCACTGGATGCATTTCAAGTGTCCAGTGGTCACGTGCAGCTAACGGCTAATGTGTTGTTTTTCCAAGGGTGGTGGCCAGACCACCTGCATCTGCAGGCTGAAAATACAGACTCCTGATCCTGGGAGCATCTCATGACAGAGCCTGAGCCTGGCATACCTAAGTCTCAGGATTCATGTATGAATGAATGAATGAATGAATCTAAAGAGAAGTCAAACTGAGAAACATGCCTGGAGAAGAGGAGCGTAAGAGAGGAAAATGGCAAAGCCAACAGGCCAACCTGGCCTTGTCTCAGGAAATAATAGTGACTTGTGTCCTTGGGTGACAGATCACATTCCCACCCCGTGATCCAGTGAGCACACCCAAGCCAAGCAAGGATACTGGGGCAGAGAATTCTCCTGTGGCTGCGGGCACTAAACTTGAGGCTCAGAGCTGATGAGACCTGGGGACGTCATGGAGGTAGAAAATTGACTTTTGTCCAGGTCACAGGTCAGGTCACATGGGCCTGGAGTAGCAGAAAGTCTGGCTTGGGGAATTTCCATAGTTAAAGGTTAGGTCCACTGAAGTTCACAGCAGTTGGGAGGACAGATCTGTCAAGGGGCACAGGAGAGAACAAGGCACTCGGGTAGAAAACACTTGGCCCAGGCGTGGATTTGGCCAATTTCTTCTTCGCTCTGGTCAATGACATCAAGTTGGCAGCTTGAGATTAGTCACTATGGAGAAAGTCAGCACAGAAGCCAGCAATTGCTATGTCAACATCTCGTCCCACTTCAACACAGCCTGGGAAAAAAACAGTCCCACCTACCAGAAAAAGGACTCCTAAAGTGACACCAACCCGAACCAGCTGACTTCTCTCTCTCTCTCTCTCTCTCTCTCTCTCTCTCTCTCTCTCCCCGTCTTCCCCACCCCCATAAAGACACATTGTTTTGTAAAATATACTGCTATGAACTTTGAAAACTACTTTGTTTCCCTAGAAAAGTGTGTCCGTTGGGTAATGGAGGCAGCTTTGGCCTTTGGGAAAAGTGGAAGAAAGAAAACACCCAAGACAAACTTTGGGAAGCAGTGCCTGCCAATGGGTGGGGGAGGGATGCTGGAGTGGTGAGCGTACCCCCCAGATATATGATTTGAATCATCTACATTTCCTCTCCTCCCATACACGTCTATCTCACCAGCCCCCTGCACTTAAGACCTGGTGTGAGGATGGAAAGGTGAAAAGTTCTGTGGGGCATCCCTCAGCCCTGTGAGCAGCTGTGGAAAATTCCTAAGCTCCAGGCAAGGGGTCCAGAAAAGAAGTCTTTGTCCTTTAGGTTTTGACCTGCTGCAGTTCGGCATGTTTTCATTCTGAGTTTGCTAGAAAGCTGGTCTTTAGACAACCAGGCCCAGCCGCCAACACCCCCCGCCCCCCACCCCACCCCCGCAGCGAGTCCCCAGCCACGCCTGGAGAGTTCTAACTATGTAGTTCAGGCCAGCCTGGATTAAAAACAATCAAGGGAATCGATCAATATCCCATGGGATATTGCTGGGGCGGGGGGAGAGGAACTATAAGAGAAATAAAGTCACAGCAAAGCTTTTCTATGACACACCACAGTTTGTAAAATGCATTACATACATTTTATTAAGTCATAGGCCGAGGTTAATGTTATCAAGGATTAGGTTGCCTGTTCGGTGCTCTCCCAGAGAGGAGCTGCCCAGGTGAGACCCTGGTCAGTGACAGAAACCTTACCTGTGATTCTTCCCAGCTTCCCAGCGTACATTTTCCCCACAAATCCAGATATGTGCGCTCCTAGACTCACTCCAATCATATAAATGTTGTCCAGAGATGCTCCGTTGGCCTAGAATTCCATTCACAAATTGTAAGAGTTCAGGAAATGGATGGCACTTGCGGAGATGTCCCAGCTGTCTACTTTGGAGGGATATTCTTAAGTACCCTCTGTCTGCTGTCTCACTCTTTTGTAGGTGGGCATGCACACACATCTATACACTTATGTGTGCCATCCAGAGGGCAAAAGGTCTCATGCCCGGAGAGATGGCTCATTGAGAACACTTGTTGCTCTTACAGAGGAGCCAGGTTCAATTCTCAGCCCCCAAACAGCAGCTCACAACTGTGTATAACTCAGTTCCAGGGGATCTGATGCCTCCTCTGACTTCCGCAGGCACCAGACATGCATGTGGCATACGTGCATGCATGCAGGCAAAATACATGGAGATATTTTAAAAAGAAAAAATAAATCTTTCCTTTTAAGTCAGCTGCCTCCCTCAATTGAGCTCCCCACCTTATTTTTTTGAGACAGGATTTCTCAGTGAACCTGGAGATGGCTGACTTTTAGACTAGCCAGCAAGCCCTAGGGATTCTTCTCTCTCCCTTCCCAGGGTCTGGGATGACAGGCAGGCACTGTGCACTGCTGTGCCCAGAGTTTTCATATAGGTTCTGGGGGATGAACTCGGGTCTTCATATTTACACACCAAGTATTTACAAACTGAGCCTACTCCTGAGCCCCTATGGTCTTAATTAAATGTCAAAAGCAGGCTGGAGAAGTAGCTCAGTGGTAGAGCACCTGCCTCATATGTCATAAGCCTTAGGTTCAGTTCCCAGCACGACAGAAAAGCAGGGACCATTACAGCATCCCGCAATGCCGATTCTACTACTTTAATACACAGATGAGGACATCGAAGCCCAGAGTTGAAGTCATCTGGCCCAAGGAAAACAGTACAAAGCAGGATTCAAACCAATCTAACCACAAATGTGTGTCTTTGGTGTCTCCATCCTGACTGCTGGTCATCGAGTACGGACATTTTTAGGGATTCCAGAGTGGGGGAGGGGATATAACCCTGAAGGCAGACTGCTGAACAGCTTGCTCTGAGACACCCACATATTACCTGCTTGATGAGGAGCTCATGTACAGCTCATGTCACCACCAGACACAGTGGTCACTGCAAGCAGTGCTTTTGCTATTGTTTACAAAGGGCAGCTCCACTGGGCTGTGGTGGCGCACGCCTTTAATCCCAGCCCTCTGGAGACAGAGGCAGGCTACAAGACGAAGCTCCTTTCACAAGGTTTTTTGCCATCATCTACAGAAGAGCATTTACAATGATATTGCCCTGTACCCCTTCCTCGTGAGGTGGGTGATGGAAGCAGCCACACCCCTTCCCCGGGTCTACTCAGATTGTCACAGTGTTTCTCCAAACGTCCCCCACCATCCAACCAAGTGATGCCCCTTTGGCTTTAAGCTCCCAAACAAGTATCCAGGGTCATCTAAGGGGAAGTCTGTCTTACCAGCATTTGGTCGATAAATTCCTTCAAAATAAGAGCCACTCTTCTAGTCTTGTCAGAGGCGTGGGTGTATATCACGGTTGTTGCTCCTCGGTTCCAGTCAACAACCACCACGTTCATCTCTTCTACATGGAGCAAACTCAAGACCAACTCCTTCATCCAAACAGGAGGGGAGCCTGTTGGCCGGAAGCCATGGATGATGAAGGTGGTTTTCTTGGTCACGTTTAGGCTCCCCAGAGCCGTGGAGTTGATGAGCTGTGCACAGGGCTGGTTTCTCTGTGTGTAGAGCATCAGCCTCACGTTTAGTTCTGTGCCAATCACCGCACTGTGGAAGCTCAGTTTGGTGAAAGACGGACATGTTTCATCCGTGTCTGGAAATCAGAACAAGATGGCATCATGCAGTGCCTCCTACACAGGGTATCAGGCAGAAAAGTACCATGATCCACTCCTTGGCACACTTACAATTCCTCACAGTGCCTCGCAGGGCCTGTATCTTTTCACCTGCGTGAAATTGTAAGGTCATGCTTGTTCGAATATTCCTAAGGAATGACCCCTGGTTGCTCTAGACATCTTTCTCCTGACTCTCTCAGGGTCAAAACCACAAGTTAGCTCAATGACGTCTTCGGCTACCCTTCCAGCCATAAGCATATCCTCACTCCCCAACTCCACCAGCACCTGTATGTGCCTCCCTTATAGCACAGTGAAATTCCTTTCAGGATGTATTCTGGGTGTTGTGCATGGGTGTGACTGTCCTGTGAGACCTGTTGAATCGTAATTTCTAACCTGTGTGTCCTCAGAGAAACAGAACACAACACAAGAGTCATCAAAGGGTCTTCATGGTCTCTTGTGCAGCACCCTCAGTGGTCAGAGCGTGTGTGCCCTGCCCTGAGCCCCTGAAACTGCAGGCCATGTCAGCTGGTGATGGCCCCCTTTCTTATCAATTCCTCAAGCTCTCCTGTCAATCCTTCATGTTGTTAGTTGAAGATGTGTTACATTTGCTTATGAGGTGGAACATTTATTTAATGTTGCAAAGATGTGTTGCATTCTTTTATGTTGCATTTGTTTAACTCTGTGAAGCTCTGTTACTTTGCCTGTCTAAAACACCTGATGGTCTAATAAAGAGCTAAAGGACCAATAGCAAGGCAGAAGAAAGGACAGGCAGAGCCAGCAGGCAGAAAGAATAAATAGAAGGAAATATCTGGGAGAAGATTTCAAGCCCCCTAGCCCCATGGCCAGACATGGAGTAAGAAGGAAAGAAAAGCTATACAGAAATAGAGAAAGGTAAAAGTCTAGAGGCAAAAGGTAGAGGGGATAATTTGAGAAATACTGACTAGAAATAAGACAAGCTAAGGCCAGGTATTCATCAGTAAAAATAAGTCTCCTCCGTGTGTTTATTTGGGAGTTGGGGAGCTGGTCCTTAAAAGCAAAGAACAAAAAGTCAAAGAGCTAAAGAGTAAAATAAAAAGCCGACAACACCTTCACTCTGCAGAACAGCCCTGGGAGGAAGTTGGGCTCAAGGAAGACACAGTACAAACCTGGAAGATCTTTTCGTTGCCACTTGAGACCAGATCTTAATATAAAAGCCGTATTAAGTAAGTTCGGCTTCAGACTTGCTACATAGTCCGATTTAGCCCCACACCTGCAGCCCTCCTATCTCACTCTCATAAATTCTAGGACTGTAGCATGCCTGGCTTGGAGCATCACTCTGGGAATGTCGCTCAGTGGGAAGTGTTTGAAGACTGCTTCCAGTCGCTAAGGAAGAATCAGCAGCAATATCGTGGAGCAACTGGGCCAGGCCTTGCCCAGTCACCACTCCAAGACACTGCAGAAAGGCTGGTGAACTTTGTGTGTCTATAACGACAGAGGATGACGAGGCCACAGTGACACCGTCGCAGTGCTGACCTTGGAACTAAAACCCAACTGTGACAGCGCAACGCATAAACATAAAGTGAGAACCACGATCTGTCTTCTTGACAAACAATCACCATAATAAATAGTGTAGGAGGGCTGTGGGAATGTTCTAGATTAAAGGATTCCAGAGACAGGATAAACTAGTGCATGACTTTGCCCTAGGGTAGCTCTTGCGGTAGAAGGAAAAATGCAATAAAAATTGATATCTAGGCAATCAGGTATAAGTGTGGCTTCGGCTTTCAGTTCATGGAGACAGATAGTCACATGATGGTTAGTGTGGTGTTTTGGCTCCCGTAGGCGCATATATGTGAATGCTTAGTCATCAGGAAGTGGACTTAGCAGTCACTGTCCCTGGGGCAGACCTTTGAATAGCTGCTTTCTGGAAGAACTTTGACCTTGAAAAATCACTGTAAAAAAACAGCAAAGAACTTTTATGGAAAACAGTGGTCATTTTCCATGATCTGTGGAATTGTTTTCCTGAAGGAGCGTTGCAGCCATCCCTTGACTTTGGTAACAAGATGCCTCAGGCCCACCTGAGGCTCTTGGATTATTGTGTACTGAAAATGGTACACCATAAAGGACTAAAGTCATGAGGGCCTGTGATGCTTTCCTTTAGAGAGACGAACAGATTAGATAGGACCTTGGTATGAGGAAATACTTTACCCCAAAACCAACCTTGTGTAACAATCAATAAATCAATAAATATGCCTTTGCCCGGCTGTTTGGGGTTCTGTTCATCAGAGACTGGACCTTCTTGCTGCCACACAGGCTTTAAAATTTCATCTTGAAGTGTCTTCTCTCTTGGACCAACCCAAGAACCAGAGACCACTGTTTGAGAAGAGTTTAGGAGCTGTGCCTTGTTGGAGTGGGTGGGTGTGGCCTTGTTGGAGTGGGTGTGGCCTTGTTGAAGGAAGTGAGTCACTGTAGATGGACTTGGAAGTTTAAAAAGTACAGTGTAACTTCTCTCTCCTCTCCTCTCCTCTCCTCTCCTCTCTTCTCATTCCCTCCCTCCCACAATCCCTCTGCCTGCAGTTTAGGATGTAGCTATCAACCATCCCTCCAGCCCCAAGCCTGCTATGCCTGTAACTATACCCCCACCATGATGATAACTGACAAACCTCTCAAACTGTAAGCAAGCTCCCAGTTAAACACTTTCCTTAGAGACCTTGCTGTGGTCACTGGGTCTCTTTGTAGCAACAGAACAGTGACCAAGACATCACAAGAGAAAACCCCAATGCTTAGAAACTATAACTAAAGCATTTGAAGGTACAGGGCCAGACTTCTTGACAAATGATTCAGAAAGTAGAAATAGATAGCTAACTGATGATGAAATGGGTGTCAAGGTGTTGAGAATAAATCGGTCCAGGGCTGCAGGATGGGCTTAGTGACTGAGCTCAGGCTCTTGGAGGCCCAGGAAGTTCCACAAAGAACCAGTAAGTAAACCTCTGCAAAGATGTGCTGCTGTTCTGCATGCTCCCTTATTCCTGTAGCCTTTCTAAAAGTGTCCAGTTCTTTCCAAGTAAGCAGAAAGAAGGAAAGGGCAGAGATGCAATCATGATGGGCAGAGGAGCAGATGAACAATGGCATCAGAAGGTAAAGTTGGCCAGATATGGTGGCACATGCTTTTAATCCCAGCATTCAAGAAGCAGAGGGAGGTGGATCTCTGTGAGTTCAAGATTGGCCTGGGCTACATAGTAAGACCCTGTAAGAAAGAAGAGAAGGTGGTGGCGGCTGTGACAAAAGCAGGGCTGGAGATGTAGCTTCATGCTACAGCATGAGCCTAGCAGTATGGATTCAGTACCTAATAGTACAAAAGAGGGAGGTGGGAAGGAATGGGGAGGGGAGGGGAGGGTAGAGAGGGGGCAGGGAAGAAAGGGAGGAGAGGCAGGGAAGGGAAGAAAGGAAGTAAGGAGCAAATGTAGGTAGATGCTTGAGGCTTTGGTTCAAAGGGGAATGGAGGAGATTTTGAAATAAAACAAAGGTCAAGTAGCAAGATGACAGAGGTAGGGGCTGGGGTGATGGCTCAGCTGCTAAGGGCACTGACTGCTCTTGCAGGGGACCTGGTTTTGTTACCCAGCATCCACGTGGCAGTGCACAACTTCCTGTAACTCCAGTTCCAAAGGTTCTCCTGCTTTCTTCTGGCCTCCAGAGGCATGAGGCACGCACATGCATATATTCATGCAGCAATATATTCATGTAATGTGTGTGTGTGTGTGTGTGTGTGTGTGTGTGTGTGTGTGTGTAGAGATAAAAGAGGTAAATGAAGAGTTCCGTGGTCCCTGGGTTTGGAATTTGACAGAATCTGGCTTTTGCAGTCGTACATAATGCTTCAGTCAAGAGCTGCTAGGAGAGGCCTTGGGGAGCTGCTCAGAAGCGGAACACGTGTACATGTGCACAGGGCCCTGTGCCAACTCCAGACACCAGGAGACAAAAGGCAGAGAGACAAATAAAGGTGTGCTGTGGACTGATCCTTCTGAACACCGTGAATATGTATTACTCTCACTGGGGAACAACAAACTGACCAGCTAATAGCTAGGCAAGATTTTTCAGGACAGAGAGGATGCTGGGAAGAAGGACAGAGTCTAGGGAGTCACCAGCCAGACTCAGAGGAAGCAGGACATGTACAAAATGAGGAAATAAGCCATGAGGCACGTGATAGAACTTAAATAAGAAATACAGGTTAATTTAGGCTGTAAAAGCTAGTTAGTAGCAAGCCTAAGTTATTAGCCAATCATTTATAATTAATATTAAGTCTCTGTGTGCTTATTTGGAAGGGGCTGGTGGGACAGAATGACCTACAGTCTGACAGAAAAGTTTGCTTACAAAAGGTGAAAATGCTAATTGGTTTCCAAACACAATGTAATGACCAGAAACCGCATTATTTGAAATACAATTATTTGCAAACCACCCCATAAGGCACTATCTCACATTCTGCTTCACTGAACGAGGGCAACTTGCATGGGAGCACAAGTCACAATACCAAGCTGGAGAGCATCTTTTGGGGCAAGCCAGAGAGGTGGTAAGGGACCAGGGATGGAACAGGAGGAGAAGACCACAAACTTGCAATGGGCCACCAAAAGGCAAGGGAACTTTGGGGCACCACGGGACACCAGAAGGCAAGGGAACCCTGGGACACTAGAAGGCAAGGGAACCCTGGACACCATGGGACTCCAGAAGACAAGGGAAACTTGGGACGCCACAGGACACCAGAAGGCAAGGGAACCTTGGGACACAATGAGCCATCAGAAAGCAATTGGAACCTTGGGACACATTTGTTCTGAGTTCCCTCAATGGAAATTTGAGAACTCATTTGTGCTGGTCAGTTTTTTTGTCAACTTGACACCAGCTAGAGTCATCGGGCTACTTTTGGTCGTGGCTTTTATCGCAGTAATAATAACCAAAGTAATGCACAATGCTCTGGACCCTACCTCTACCCTGGTATAGTCAGGCATGGCTTAGG